GCTTTGAGGGGACAGTTTACCCAAATTACACAAAGACATATTTTCTCATTTTCCCCTGGTAGTATTTAGCCATGCCTAGATTTCTACAAACATCTGACACCAACCCAATACAAAGTTGATGAATGGATTGTCATTTGCGCAGCTAGAAACACTGCAAAGTTCAAACAGACTGTTTTCAATGGAAACAATTACTCTGGGAGAAAATCGTCCCAATCAACCTGCAAATTAAAACTTTAAAGGTCCGGTTAGTGTATAGGATTTAGGGCTTCTGCTAGCAGAAATGGAAGACAACATTCAGAGCTATCTTTTCATTAGTGTATAATCATCTGAAAGTAAGAATTGCTGTGTTGTTACCTTGGAATGAGCCATTTAACTACATACGGAGTGGGTCCTCTTCCACAGAGTCTACCATGTTGTTTCTACAGTAGCCCACAAAGGACAAACCAATCACCAGCTCCTGATGGGGCCATTTGCCTTTTCACATAAGCCACTGAGGTTTCAGTTCTGCAACCTCACCACTAGATTCTACAAAAAAATTTGAAAACATTTTACATTCAAAACCATTCAGTTTGACCAGGGATACACAATAATATCAGCATGTCATATCAGCCAGTATTGGCTTTTAAAATTAACTATGAGAATCGTCCAATATGCTTTTTCTTATTTTGCACAATGAATGAAAATTACATACATATATATCTTAGTAGAAAAAAAACACGAAACTTGTTGCTGCACTGTGTGGCTAACATACTGACCAAACCTCAAAAAGCATGGGGAGGAGGAGGAGAGCAGTGAAAGCCTTGGCCAGCCAACCTGGAAACCTAAATATGTCTTTGGCTGTGAAAAAAACTGCGCTCAACCAGCTGCTAAATGTTTACTTTTTCCCATGTGGGACACCAAAGCTTAAAATCAGTCTGGACAAATACACAGCACGCCCTCACAGAGCAGAAGCTGCACTGTGTCGTCTCTGATGGATTTCAAGACATTCTTATTATCCTACCTGACAAACAACACGAAGGGCTGCTGAATGGAATAAATACAGCATTGAGAATTCTCAGTCGCATACCATGGACACAGCCAGCCTTACTCATCAAGCAATATAAGCAGTTGCAAAAGGCGCCCTGGTTTCTGGGGCCCAACCAGAAAAACTAGATGAGACAATTAGAAAATAAAAACTGAACTTTCTAAACAAAAACTGACATTTTGGGCTCTAGTTTCCCGGTGCAGTGCAGGGTGGCGCAGGGTGGCAAACCCCGTGCAGAGCTAGTTTCGAGCAGCGCAACCCGAGGCATGCTCAGTTTGGTAGTTTGGCAGACCGAGGTGCGCTGAGATGGGTGTGGCGGCGCAGCAGGGGGAGGTGTCGACAGATCCAGCTTGGCGCAGTGACAGTTTCGTGCCAAAAGGCTTCGCCGAAGGTGCGCTAAAAGCTCGCCAACTGAAACCACGTCTACCGTCAGTGCAGGGGGAGCGCAGCCGGTGTAAGCCGAAGTTTGGCTGACCGGCGGACAGTGCGCACACGTCACCAAAACCTAACAGGCAGGTCTCCAGAATGTCAGACACATTAACGATGCAATAAATACCCACAAAAACCACTATTCAATGCAACTATCTGCAATCAGCACATAAATGTATCTCTATATCGACTGTCCCGTCACATCTGATGTCAGATCAAAGGGGATTGGCACGTTTGGCACGTTTGGCACAAGTAATGGAAACCCAACCTGATTTGATTAACACAGCAAACTAATGAGTTCACACCCCTCTCAGCCAACCACAAACAGCCACAGCATCAGATAGGGAGTATATATTCAGCATCTGTCATCTTAGAAAAGTCAAAAGAAAAGAAACAGAGTGAGACTGCGAGAGAGAAAGAGAGAGCGCGCGCGCACGAGAGAAACGCAACATTGATTTACAATTGTGGTGACCTCCTCCCAGGCTACCTTTGCATCATCAGCCCGTGGAGGTCTGCTCGCAGTTCTGAATATTCGGACACTGCGAGCTTGGACCTCCCGAACCAAAATATCAGTTTCCTCCTGGGAGAAGTTTGGCCGTCTGACGCTGCTGCTCTCTTCTGCCATGGCGAATTGAGTAAACTCTCATTACGCCTTCGCGCGGCGCATTTAAGGGCGAGGAGAGGGGCTCATTTGATTGGTGTGATGTGTGTAAAACCCACTCCACGCCTTCTCTCCTCCCTCTTTCCGACGGAGACGGGACGGAGGTGGGACAGATGAGTAGCTGCGCCAGGCGCACGGTGTGCCAAACTTGCAAAATCCGCCTGGCCACACCCAGTTGGCGAAGCGCAGGTGCGCTGCGCCTCCGCTGCGCCCAGTCTGCGAAACTAGAGCCCTTTATGCCAAAAAATAAGAGACAAAACTATAAGCTCAGATATGGGCTTAATGGAAATTTTGGATAGGCTAGGTAAGCCATTTGCTGTCCCCTATGAATGAAACACTCCCTGGACTCTGTGGTTAACCAAATATCACATTTTGCAGTTGTATTAGATATGTTAAGTTTCACAAAATCAATGACAAAGACAAGAATGAAAGGCAACACAAACTAGGATAAGAACCATTGCAAGCTATTCTTCCACAGTTTGCCAGCACTGCAGCTCCTGATTTAAGATTCAGATTCAGAATACTTTATGAGTCCCAAAAGGGCAATCCATTTCTACAGCGTAATACATAACAGCAGCAATAAAACATCAAAATGCCAGTGACAGCAAGTGCGCAGAGAGGCTGCAACAAGAGAAACCATGACTACGCTCTTGCTCTCTCCATTGAGCAACAATATAGACAAGGAGCAACAATATAGACAAGGAAAAAAAAAAACAATTCACAAGATGTAGAGGGGTGGCTTAGATATTTGCAAGCTGGCTACTATCGGCATGTAATAACCTGATAGCAGAGGGAATGAAGGAATTTGCAAATCGATTTGCTTTCTGTCCAGACGCATAATAGCGCCGGCCAAAGAACATGACTGAGGTTTCCCTGAAAAGTGTGCAATTAAGCTGACTTATTATTCCTTCTTTCTTCATTCTTATTCCTGCTTTCTGGACCACTTGCTTCTTCCAGAGAGCATGTGGATCTTTTTGCCAGACTCCAGTGTTCTCGGAAAAGACTTTAACAATGTTATTTAAATAGTTTATATCTTTCACAGACAACCCATTGCACCAGCACACAAATGAAAAAGTTAAAAGACTCTCGATAAAAGTTTGATGAAAGTTGCATAGAATGTTCACCAAAGACACCAAAAGAGTTTAGCTTCCTCAGCAAGTCCATTTTTTGATGCCCCTGCTTGACAATACAATCAGTGTCCTCATCAGATTTTGTAGTTGTGAGTCAAACATTGTTCCTAAATACTTAATTTGCCTACCTAATTTGCTTAAGCATGTCTTCTTTCAGACTAATAGACAGAAAACATCCAAAGTACTCTTTTAGGTGTTTATTTTAGTTCATTTCTGTTCTTTGAATTAACTCAAAAAGCACATATTTAATTAGATAATTCCTCGTTTGTATATTTAAACATGAAATTTCAGAAAACTTTTTATACATATAAATTGTCTTAATGTAAGTAATCAACTGGGGAAGTTTCATGGTGAGTCTATGGTTCAGATTTTTACCCAGATATCTTATCTTCTGTCTAAAAATGTATGGAATTCTATAATACATATCCTTAATATATACCCTTAGCTGGAAATCTCCTCTCCAGTAGTATTTATATATACTAAACTTTGTAGTTTTATTCCTGTCTATATTCATAAGGTTTTTTACAGAGAGGTTTGTTCATATATCATTTATAGCTTGATTTACAAAATTTTTATTACTAAAGACATGGCAGAAATTATATTTTTATGGCTGTTGACTGTGTTTTCTGATTTAGGCCAGGTGATGCAAATTTTAAGGCTTTATTAATACTCTGACTGCCCCTCTTAACAGCTGCCTAGCACTCTGAAAACTAAAATAACCTGCCTTCTTATAGCCTTCTCCTGCCTACAAAGCAGGAGAAGGCTATAAGAAATTAGCAAAGTGTTTTCAGGTAGCTGTTTCCTCAGTTCGTAGTGTAATCAAGAAATGTCAATTAACAGGAACTGTGAAGGTCACGCTGAGGTCTGGAAAGCCAAGAAAACTTTCTGAGAGATCTGCTCGCTAAAAAGGTGAATCAAAGCCCCCGTTTGACTGCAGAAGACCTGCAGAAAGATTAGCAGACTCTGGAGTGGTGGTGCACTCTTCTACTGTGCAGCAACACCTGTACATCAGAAGAAAACATTTCCTGCATCCTCACCACAAAATTCAGCGTCAGAAGTTTGCAAAAGAACATCTAAACAAGCCTGATGCTTTTTGGAAACAAGTCCTATGGACTGATCAAGTTAAAATAGAACTTTTTGGACACAGTGAGCAAAGCTAACTGTGATCTGCCTGAGATTAATTCTGATTAATCCTAAAAATAGATAGAAAGATAATCGTTTGTGGCAGCCGTTAACCTAATTAATCAATCAATCAATTCATTAATTTAGTCCTGTATAATTTTACAGCACGTCCACGGTACTTTAACAAAAGGTAGCATATAGTACAAATTTGCAGTAGGCTATACATGATGATTTGTAGCACAGGTTTACACCATAACCCTGGGTAACCCAGTATGAGATTCAATCACAGTTATTTTCTTAAGATGTGTATTAAAAGCTAACAATCTATATGTGGTCTGAGTAGGATACTTTCATTTATACTGAGGCTGATTTTAACTTGCAGAGTGTCATTTTGAGCTGATGCTACATTTTATTATTATAAAAAATAAAATATATAAATATAAATAAAAAATATATACTTATTGCCTGCTTCATGCTGATTTAAATAGCTTACTATTTCTTCTTAACAGCAGTGAGTGCAGGACTGGGGGGATAACGGTACATTCAGTCAGGGCTGCAGTGGGTGCCTCTCTCAGCATTAGTCTCTGATCACTGAGTGCATCCAGATTGCAGGAGCAGTAACCCATACACTCACCCAGGTTCCTCAGAGGATCGATGGCCTTTGCCTGGGACGTCCCGGCTCCATTCTTCAGCACGGGGGCTGCTTTCTTCCTGTTGCCCAACATAACGCAAGAAAGCTGCGCTTTATCTCGCTCTGCCTCCCTCCTTCCTCCCTTCGCCCTTCCTGTGTTGTTCCTCAGGCAGGAGATGAGCGCTTTAGTGGATCAGCTGCTGCAGGAGGAGGAGAGGAGAGTGTTGAGAGGCTCGGCGCTCCGCAAGCTGCTCCTCATGGTTTTATCCCGGAGGAGGTGGAAAGCAGGAGTCTGGCCAAACCTTCACCCTGCTGATGTCACAGAAATTGGATTTATAAACATAGAGCTGTATGAATCAGACAGGCGTCAAATGGCACAACAGACAGAGGCTTCCTGTGGTGACTTTCAAAATAAAAGTCGTGGGTATCACATCAGCTTAGGGAAAATTGTATAGGTTCATAATTCAACAAAGGTTTTCCAAAGTAATTTGATTGGACAGATAAACAAAAAAGAGATCAACCGAATTATGTTTTATTATAATCTGCTACTGTAGAGAAACAAGTGGGCAGGTTGCTGAAAATTCAGGTAAATTTAATAAAGGTAAAAGAACATGTTAATACATGAAAAAGAATTATCAGTAGAGTGTTGTAAATTAGATTTGGACTTTGAATTTGGCAGCAAGGGATACGTATTGCAGACGAATGTAATACAGCCACTGGCTATAGCCTATAGAAAAAAATCCTGGATAAATGCTAATAAAAAAAGAATTTGAGGGGCAATAGGTAACCAGGTGCTGTATTGAGATATTGAGATGAATAACCCATTTTTGAGGCTTATCTTGGCGATGATCATATTCAGGATATGGTGTTCACATGAGCACAGAGAAATCAGGTTATTCGTATGCCCCACACTGTATACATCCTGGTTTCTTTCAGTGTATTTCAGCTGCCATATCCAGGTTCCTCATAAACCAAATATGGTGTTTACATGCTCAAACATATAAACTGGATACTTCAAAAACCCCATCATAAATGGGTTATGTGACCACACTCATTTAGGTACAAAGACATTTTAGACATAGATGACATTTCTTAGCAATTTTAGACACAAAGGAAGAAAGAATCCTTAAGGTAAAAACAAACCATGCAAATGTTTATTCATGCAAAATAAACTTAAAAACACAGGGAATACAAAGCAATGCATAAATGTTTAAAAGACTCAAAAAGGTTTTCCATAATCCAGGTTATGAATATTGTTTTAACAGGATCAACTGGTGTTGTGTCTGCCATATAATTAATATGTTATTCGAAGCCCACTTTTTAAAAAAGTAATATCCATACTGGTTCAGATAAACAATTTGATTGTATGTTTTCCCATCTTTGCTGAGCAACAGTTTTATGTAAAAGGAATTAAAGACCTGTCCCATATAGACGCCTGTCCCAAAAAATAGGCCTGTTGAGTTCAGTGATTTAAGCAAATAATAGGCCGCGCTATTAGTTGAAGTTTTACTGTAGATAATAGGCATGCATTGAGTATTAAAAAGCTTAGATAAGATGTCCTAATGGGCAGTCATTTGTAACAGGCATTTATAATCATCTTGTAATATCCATGTAATTAATAAGAAAACACTTTTGTGGCCCTATTCCTACTCATCTTTTATCCATAGTAGTCATATTTGACCTTTTATAATTTTAAAAACATTTGTTAGTTTATTGATGTAAACACAAATCAACAGACTGACACAGCTTTGCACATGCAACTTATCTTAAGCATAAATAGTTTTATAGTAGGCTATGATAATCAGATTCATTATAAATCCGGTAGGTCTAACGATAATAAGATTTGTTAGCAAATTATAATTCTCTTCCAACTCATGGTCAACTTACTGGCTTATTCCAGAGCTTTCAGTCACATCACATGGTCTTCCTCAGTGGATGGAGTTTGCTGTTGTCATGGAAGTTGCTCACTTTAAATTACTGTTTCCAAGGGAAGAATGAGCTGAGTTTAAAAAAAAAAAAAAAAGTCACAATCCTATCAGATGTTAGTCTGTAGCATGTTGTTCTTATTATTTGTGAAACAGATAAAAACCATTCCCTAATTATAACGTCCCTGCTGTAGCATGCCAGGCCCTTGAATGATGCCATAAGAGAGAGCTGCTTTAAATCCAACTTAAATATTTTGGGTATTTTTTTTTTACTTCATCTTTGCTTTTTATGATATTGCTAAAATTCACACCTTGTCATATGACACCTATCTGAAAATGTATTTCATAGATATTTCTTTGTCAAATAAGAAAAATTTCCTTACTAAATTAAACCAGAATGTTTTTTTCTCTTTATTTCCACAGTTTGATTTATTTTCTGTTGTTTCAAAAAAAGAAACACTTTTCTAATTTTATTTTTTAATTCTTTATTTACAAATATAGATACATTATATACACACAAAACTGTCAATACCTGGGGTACATAGATTATATAAGATGTCCTTTATTGTCCTCGTGGGAAACTCATTCTGCTCAGGTCAGCATAACATAAAAGACACCACAATAAATAACTCAACATGAATATACAAGTTAATTATTCACATATATGAGAAAGGAAAAGGACAGAAAAGGGAAAACAATAATAATAATAATAGTAATAATAATAATAATAAATATCAACTCATTTATGGTCTGGTTATTCATATGTAACCACACTCATAGTCACTTTGTATTACCTTTTTATTCTTAAGGCCACTTACTGTGGTGCCATGTCGGTGTTCTTCTTGATAGACGAAGTTCAAAATCCTCAACAATTATTTATTACTAATCTGGCAAATGTTATGCTTTTGTTTTGAAGGCAAACTCTTAACATTTCCGGGTTTTGTAGCGTGTGTGTCTCTGGCAACTTGACAACAAAGGGAATTTAAAGGGATTATAGACCGAGGAGACGCTCATGTGTCCAACGTAAAATAACCTTCCTCCTCTCGGTCTACTAATCTCTAATTTGATCCAAATCACAGTCAAAGTGATGAACTGAGTGATAACTGAAAATAGTTTATCCTTTAATACTGTCCGCTGTAACTGGGGCAAATGGTGCCGCTTAATGATTTATGTTAAAATCAGCCTTTTTTGTCCAGTGTCGGCTCTGACAGCCCACGTGCACTGTGGAGGCTCTGTGACGAAGTAACGGCTCAAGTGCAGTGGTGCCAAGGCACGCTGGTGTGCCATGATGGCAATGTATGTAGGTGTGCCACAATATTATTGCAACATTCAACCGGGCCGACCTATACAATAAGTTAGGAATTAATTTTTAATTGACTGTATCAGCATGTTTCCTTTTTTTGTGATCAACTGTTTTTATTCAATTATTCCATCATTTCATATAACCAAATATGATAACATCACTTTTGATGACTTTCAGCATGTTTCCTAACAAAGATGCAAACTTTAGCTAAAAAAATGTAATCCAATTCAATTCCTTAAAAAAAAACAACCCTCAGGGGGAACCTATTTGTTGCTGTTCGCGAGTGGGAATTTGAAGTGTGAGACATATTAAAAGACCTGACAGGTAGCCAGTGTGAGGGATGATTACATTAAAGGAAAAAGCCAGGGACAACAGCAGTATTTAACAAAGGTAACGTTGCAAAATTCGTCTCCATTAGCTACAACTCATAAGGTTCACGACAAAGCAACTTTCTTATACTAAACATGTTTTCCAAACAAATACAACATGCTAACATTATTAGCACAAGCCTATGGCATTTTACATTGTATAAATTAGCCTAGCGGCTAGGGGAGATTTCCTCTACTCATATTTGGAGCCAGGATAAATCACACACAAGACTTCAAATGCTATTTTGTGGGGGCTTTATTGTCTCCACAAGTTGTTGTTTCTCATCTGTGAAATAAAAGTAAATAAAAGCTTCCTTTCCACAGAGGGGAATGGTTTCAGCTTACAAAAGTAGACAGGAGCTCTGCATTGCTGTGATGTGTAGTGACATTTCTGGGGAGGTGCACGGTAAGGCATGGATTCGATGCAGAAGTATAAAACTTGCTTAATCACATTTGTGAAGTCATCCAGTATAAAGTCTGGAGCTGCTCCATGGACGATGAATGGGAGCCTCATTTTGTGGACCCACAGAATGTTTCATTTTATTTATACACACCAATATTAGCTTTATTCTATTGTAGTGTTTTCAGTTGCAAAACAGAAATTGCATCAATATACTCAGAACATTCCCTTAGGTGCGCCTGTGTCTTTGGTTTTAGGGTAACAATGCTACAAACATATGATGATCTTATAGATTATGATACATTGCAGTAGATTTAACTACCCAAAAGTATATGAAAGAGTTACAATTAGCACAATCATCCAGTAGTAAAACACAACATTCACATTAATGCAGCAATAATAGGCTATGTAATCCAAATTATCATATGTACTAATTGGGACCTTTTTTTGTATAATGAGTACTTTCATGTATTGAATATATTAAGTCAATTTTGCTGATAGTACTTACATATCTGTATTTATGTAAGTTTTTGAAGGTAGGTCTTTATTTTCATTATTTTTTGAAGTAGTAGTATTAATAGTATTGGTACCAGTATTAGGGATGTCACTTTAATTTGCCAAGTGGGCGTGGTGTAATACGTGTCATGTGATTCGACACGGAAGTGGTCTGTAGGAACTAGTGGCCGAAGCCGATAGGTCTGTCCCAGCCTAGGTTAGGTCTGTGGGCAGTTTCGCAGTTCAACTCAACCGTCAAAGTTAAGCCACAAATAGCCGAAACCATCACTCCCAACCGGTTTAGTGAGTGTCTTGGTATTTGCATAGTCTCTCTGATACAGACTCCATTGTCGCTTTACATGGTTCTGGTGATGGCACGCGACAGGACACACAGCAAGTAAGGTAAGACAAGTTAACAAGCTAACAACTGCTAAGCTACACCGGGGCTCCTAACATGGTTAGCTAGCCTATTGGTGAGCTAACGCAGCTAACTCCCATATACTGCACTTTGCAACTGTCGTTTTGTCTTATGAAAACTAGCTTTAGTTCAGTGATACGGTGATTCTCGGCAGACGTGTGCAGCAGAATATCCTGTGTGATATATGCATGTTAAGCGGTAAATGGTGTTCAGTGTTGCATGAGACATGGATCAAAATGTGTGTCATGTAAAGTTAGTTTTTGATTCCACTGTCCTGACAGACTTCTCTCTCAGCCCCAGTTGCACCCGTCCCTGCAGCGCCATTAAACAGTGTCATGCCAGTCCCGGCTATGGCAGAGCCTGTGGTTGATCACCAGAAACGGTTTCAGGCTGCTGTGGATGTCATCCATAACCTCCCTAAAAATGGTAAAAAATAAAATCCTGACAGCTGTGATATGATCTCATACACATCTTGTCAGAAAGTTTGTTGCTGGCTAGAGCAGGGCTGTAATCACCACTATTAAACACCCTTCTACACTGAGAAATATTTGGAAACTTAACAGCTAAACTGACCATTTGTTCAGTTTCCCTTTGGGGATGAATAAAGTTTTTGTATTCTTTTCTGTTCTATTAATTTCAGACCATTTTGCCCTCTCTCCACCAACATAAAACTTTTCTGTTCCAGTTTCCGCACCTTATTTTGAACTCATTGGAGCGTTTTGACCAATAAATAAATAGGTTCAGAACCTGAAAAAATTGATTCTGAGCTGGAGCCAAAAATAGCAGATTTTCCTTGACTTGAAATGCCAACTGTGACAACATCGTGAGCGTGTCATATTCTACTGGTTGGGAAAAGAGGATGGAGAAAGTAACAAAGGAAAGTCAAGTGAGAAATCATTGAGGGAAAAATGTGCATGGGTCTCATTAATACTTGGCCCATGCTTGTTTTTGGATATCTGTAGAAACAGAACTAAAATTTGCAGGCAGTCAGTGTCATCTGAGATTTTGCTACTACTGTTCATTTTTGTTGTACACTCTGCAACACCCTTGTTGACACATCCTTGCTTACAATGGTTCTGTGCAAAAGTGGTGGAAATGAGTGAGGGCTGCACAGGAAAAGTGCACACACTATGAGTTTTTTTATGACCTCTTTGTGACATACTAACACTTAACAAAAACTATAACATTCCACGGCTTACATAACATTCATATTACATTCTGGTTTCAGAGTTTTTATTACATTTGAAAGTCATAAAACTGAGAGACAGTACAGTGTTTGACATTGATTGTACCAAGACACAGCAGATGAACATCAACTTCTGTTGGCGTATGGCAACACCACTTGGACAAACTACACGCAGAACAAGTAGCAATAATACAGGTAGTAGTAATAATATTGGGAATTTGTAATGTGTACTTATGAATATGATTACATTTGCTAACAATAATTTAGTACGCCGGTGCGTGGTTGCCATTTTTTCCCTTTATATTATTTATCCAAATATTGGGGGAGACATTTTGAGCATGTTTGTATATTTGGGTTGGGTGTTGATGTATATATTAAAATTGCAGTCTAGGGCTAGACAATAGAAACCATTCATGAATCTGTATCTTTATTGTTGTAGGGTTGAACTGTGTTGTAGGGTTGAACTCAGAAGCGCCAGGGCAGCTGACCTGTTAGTGCAGCTGTGATTCATGCTGTGCTGCTTTGTACACACAGAGTGTTAAAGTAAACTTCATTTAAAAACCAGATGGCTTAGTGTAGCTAAATGTATCAGCCAGCATAATGTCGGAGATTAGCTCCTGGACATTTTGTCATCTAAACAAGAAGAACTTTGAATGCAATGTCACCTCTTCTTATTCTTATTATTGTTATATCCAAGTTAAACTGAAGTCTTGCTCTTCATAATTTGTTATATATTCCATCCAATATGTACTATTGTCAGTAAGACAATCAAACTAAACTGCCATTTTGATTAATGAAGTAATTTGTTCCATCATCAGTTATATTGCTCTAATATGTGAAAAAGAAGAAAATATGAATTCTCAAATATCTACACAGCTCTCAGTTTGCTCTGACCTAAAATGAAAATGAACTTCTATTTTTTCCCAATAGAAGAAGATTTCCCAATAAACAGTTAAACAAACCTGATAAATGTCTGTTATCTCGCAGGTTCCTACCGGCCGTCCTATGACGTCATGCTGCGATTCTACAGTCTGTACAAGCAGGCGGTGTGTGGACCCTGTACGGTGGCTCGGCCTGGCTTCTGGGACCCAGTGGGTCGCTACAAATGGTCTGTATGTGTGTACGGGCTTGTATGTCATTGTAGTCAGAGTCAGGTTAGTTTTCATGAGCAGACACCAGATTTTCTGCTGCTCTCACAAGTGGTCTTCTTTCCTTTACCAACAGAACAACGTGCAGTTTATGGTGGTGGTGTTTTTTTTTATGAATTTGTCCAGTAGACATTACAACACAAGTTTGCCACATATTTGCATGGTGTTTTATGTGGTGTTCTCTCTGTGGGTTAGTTAGTTTGTCTTGTGTGTGAGGTGTGTGAGTCTCAGATAATTCAGTTAATCTCCTCACGTTGTCAACACACTGTGTCTTTGTGGCAAAGGGCTTTTGTTAAAGATGTGCAGCCAAACACCATTTAGCTCCTGATAAAGAGCAGCAGTGTGGGTTTTATATTGCACGGCTGCATGCATACACTTACACATTGAAGTAAACAGAGATTGTGCTGCCCAGTAAATTGATGGAGAGAGGATCAGTGTTTTGCTTAAGGACATCTTGTATGGTCACATGACCTAAACACTGAGGCTAATGTGGGGTTTAAACGTGATGGACAGTCACTAACATGTCAGTTCAGTTCACTTCTAACAGATTAAGAAGGTGCAAGCAAATCTTTAAAGGTGTATGCTACTTCTAAACAAACAGTTCATTGTGTGTGTTTCTTGTATTTGGCCTTCTGTAGAGCATACTGCAAAGGACTGATAAAACATCCTACTATTCAGATTGAATCAGAGTGAATTAAAATGGCAAATTATAATTAAACTCTCTCAGAATTGAGCCAGTGCTGTAATGCCTAGTTGCTTAATCAGTTCAGTTCTCCTTTGACAGAAAATGTCATCAGTTTTCTGGTCCAGCTTATCAAATGTGAAGATCTGGTATTTCAGTTTTATATCACTAGAAAATTGCCACTTTGTCAAGGATATATCTTTATAGTAGGGATAGACCGATATGGATTTTTTAGGGCCGATGCCGATACCAATTTTTTTCCATCACCCTTAGCCGATGACCGATTATGGACTGCCGATTTACGGCGTTTGTAGTGGATGAATGAAATATTTTACATATCACCTTGGGTTAGCCTTCACCTTCTCAAAATCATCCCGCACTTTGGATTTCCTGCCCGACATGTTATTAACTAGCCTGTGTAATGAAATTGAAAATTCTAAATTGCCCAAAAACAATAGGCTACATCAATTGTGAGTAAAATATATATTTTTTGTATTTCCTGTATCTGCGGCACCTTGTATATGATTGCGATGATTGAGTCCTTTAAAGAGGTTGCAGTCATTTTTGATATTACTGTTACAAAACTAATTGACTCAGGTCAGCTTTAATGGTAGAGATTGCAAATTGTGTTATACATATTTAATTTTACGTTTTAAATTAAATGAATTTGAGATATACCCTGTCTGAACAACCACCTAAAATAATGTGTTCATAAGGATGAAGTGGTGATGGAGTAGTAACTGTAGTGGTAGTAGGTGATAAATATACCTTCACCTGTTACTATATTTAGACTATAGTCATCCAGTGCCCGTTCAAGACATGCCTTTTCAGAAGGGGCCGACTGCTTGGTCGATGGTGTTGCTGCTAGCAGCTTTCTCAAGAACCACTCGTACAAACAACTACACATTCAACACTGCACCTTCTTGGGTCCTGAGTAGTACACCTGCATTGGCATAGTTGTGTCCCACACACCCAAGTCAAAGCTACTCGGCATCAGAAACACTACTGAGATATATTCTGGTTCACAGGGAAAAAGGCACCAGGGCAAGACTTAACCATAAGGCAGGCTAGGCAACTGCCTTGGTTCCCAAACAGCTGTAGATTTACTTTGATGTTTGTTTTGAAAAATATAGACCTGTGTCTATATTCTAAGTCATTAACCCCCCAAATAACTTAGAAAAAGCCCCAAAGCACTTAAAAAATATGCGACTGGTAGTAGTATTGGTATACTACTGTACTGTGTTCTTTTATTTCTTTTACTATAGAGTAAACCATTGTACCTGACAGAAACATGTTATTGTTTATATAATATTACATATTCAGATTTTACTTCCAAAATATAACAATTAAAATATAATGCATTATTATTCATATAACTATCCAATGTTAGAATTGAAAACTCCACATTGTACAGACATTAAGTAAATTGAAGTCTCAAGTCTCATTTTTGTGGCACTGCCAGAGTTGGCAGAGAATTTACTCAGCATAGCACAGTAGTGCAGTACACTTTGTGGTCAACAATACTGTAGTTTAATCAGATGTCATGGCAGGGTTGATGTTTTCTGACTAATTGTTCTCATATATATATGTGTTAGGGATGCCTGGAGCCGCTTGGGAGAGATGAGCAGTGAGAGTGCCATGGCAGCATATGTGGACGAGATGAAGAAAGTAGCACAGGAGGTACATGACACATTTCTTTCATATATGTCAATATAACATCAGAAGTTGTTATGCAGAATTTCTGGCATGAATGCATCTGCACATTGCAGCTTAAATAGATGATTTACATTTTAATTAATACCCCCAGTAAATGAATGAATATTTTTGATGTAAAGTGCATCAGCTGAAATCTCTGTTAAATGCTTACACCTCAATCAAATGTCAGGACACATCAAGCTGACATCTGGCCGTCAGGTGATGTTCAGCTTTTAGAACTATTCAGTTTAGGTCAGGTTCCTACGTGTTTCTTTGCTCTCAGATCAAATCAGCTCACAGTAACATACTGAATGTGAGGTGAGGCATTAAAAATAAAAAAAAGATGAATGAATAAAACTCTGGTCAGATGAACACAGGGACTTGTAATTAGCAGTCCAGTGATCAATAAAGGTTTCCACTGACTCCGCAGGTCATCGACACCATGCCCATGAATGAGAAAACAGCCTCCCTCTTCCATCACTTTGAGCCTCTCTACTTGGTGATTGATGACATGCCGCGGCCTCCAGAGTCACTGCTCACACTCGGAGAAGGTCAGTGACCCTGAGGGTTAGTCTGTAACCAGCATCTGATGGGAGATGATAGTGTTTGATCGGAGATTAGATCTGCTTCCACCAGTGCTCGCAACATCTGATGAATTGACTGATACTAAACAGGGTGTCTGTGAGGAGCCTCAATTGCTTCTAATACACAGCACATATATCAGTATTTTATTTTGTTAGTATCAGTGTGACTTAAAGGTTTTTTGAAACACTTACTCCAGCAAGGACATATTTTTGGGCAAGCTGGTTATTGCTTCTTTTGAAACATTTTAAATGTATAGATAGCGCTCAACAATATGGGAAAATAATTTGAATGCATTTAGTCATTCAGCCCAAGTATAGATTTTAGAAAACTACTTGTGGTTGGAAACATTACACAAAAATATTTTTTGGGGGGTGGATGTAAGAGTCTTTTTTCCATTACTGCAGATCTTAAAGGCAGTGAGAATGCCGACAGGCCAGCAGAGATTAAGGATGAGGAAGAGGAGCGGGGCAACCCTACAGGAGATTCTTCTCTGCTACAGGGTGCAGACCATGATCAGGAGTTCAACCTGTCTGAAGTTATAGACCTCACTGCCAACACCATCCCCAACGGTATGTAATGGATGGAGCCTGACTTACACCTCTCTTCCTTTTTTACAACAGACTCTACTCATGCTACACCTACACTACATCTAGTTTTGAAAACAACTTGGGTCCACACTAGCATTTCCAGGTCATTTTGGTAGAGACCTCTGTCCACAGTGAAACACTTGAACCGCATTAAAACAGCTTAATCTCTTTTGCTTCGCCCTCCTCTCAGTGGCAAATAACAAAACTGCTTAAAAGCCAACATCTAGTGAGGACAGATGACCAGCAGACCAAATCAGATTTTATGGTCTTGACATCGTCTGACAAAATCATCACAGATGTACAGTTGCATGCAAAAGTTTGGGCACCCCTGCTCAAAATTTTGTTTACTTTGAGTAGTTAATAAGTAAAAGACAAACTGATTTTCAAAAGTCATGAAGTTAAACAGACAGGCAGCTGACTGGGCAGCCCCAGATTGTCCAGAGTCAGCCCTTTAAACCTGCGCTAAGCCTCCTCCTGCACTGTCTGACTATCTGTACTGTGTTATATCACAACCCATTTCACAATAAACTAGAGTTGTTCTTATTTATATATTTATATTTCTGTTGTCAGATGAGGAAATGGGTATGAAGCCGTTATTTAATCAGGTGTCATAAATCTTTCATGTTAACCAGCAGTCATTTCCCAGCTGCTGTGCTGATAAAATGATTATTATTGTATTATGGTGATGTCATCTGGAAAAAAAAGTGTAAATGCAGGTTAAAAGTATATTACGCTGTTTGCAAACATGCTTGCCAGTGCTGTATTTGCCTTTTTACGGCACTTTGTCTCTTGGATGCCTGCTGCTGCTTATGGTCTGGAACCTGGTTGCTGCCTCTTTATACAGCTCAGACCTCACCTGAGTGCTGTGGGGATACACGCCCATAAATGTTCTGAGCACAGAAAATAAGAAAATCCAGGCAGAGGATAGAAATACCGCAGATAAATACACTGTCACACACTGAAAGTTAAAGATATACTAAGTGTTGATTGAGAAACATTACTTCTGTATGAATCTCTACATTTTTGGGGGGAGAAAATCCAGCATAGTTAGTATATCTTTAATGACAATAGCTATGTTGTGTGTTTGACTTTATTGACTTTTAAAATGAGAGATCACAGATAAGGTTTAGAGTGACTGGTTGGTCATTGTTTTGCACAAGCTCTGTTTACCCCACACACACTTAAACACACAGTCTGAGATTTAACATATATACACTCTGGGGACCACTTTGGAAAAGCTCAGTTTTGAGGTGATGGAGAAAACCGTACTGTTTTTTGATCAAACGATCTTATATTGGACGCACTGTAGCACATGCTCAGGGCAGGCGTAGTGGTTTTATTATAGTCCAGCTGTGTATCCAGCAGGAGGGAATGTTCTTGACACATAAGATCCAGAGCAGAGTAACTTCTCCACCTTTGCTCTCAGCCTGATTAAAAGAAAAGATTAGGTTTGTTAACATTTAAAGCCCACTATGCTGTTATTCTGTGTACAATAGCACAGTCTGACAAAATAAGATTTGAACTGCGGCTTCTTGACTGGAGCTACTGACCTATTGAGAATGAAACATTCAGTTTCAATTCCTGTAATGATCCCATTTATCATCCACTCATCATTTGTTGTTTTGTCCAACCCTGATATGAAGAGACTAAAAGTTTTCTCCTCATATATCCGAAATGCTTGCTCTCCTTCAGACTCTGGCGTGTGTGAGGGTTTGGTGTTGACCAGCGACTCAGAGAGCGAGATCTTCTGTGACTCTGTGGATTCAGTGGAGCAACTCAGCAACGTCAAGGTACGACTAACATCCTCCAACAGGTGGAGGCAGCAGGCGTGCCAAATTAGATTAGATTAGAAAGCTTTATTGTCATTATATAGAAATATAACAAGTACACAGAGCGAATGAACATTACTGCAGAGTATCAGAGTACAACTTACTACTCCAGTGAGCAGGAACATGAAATTAAAAGGAACTAATGAATGTGTACTAGGGCTGTCAAAAAAAATTCCAAGTTCTAAATATATTCGAATATATATATTTTTTTATAAGTTCGAACCTAAATTTGATACTTCGAATATCATCAATAATTAATTAATACTATTAATAATGTTATATATCACGGCGAATCCCGTTTGGGCGGAGATGGCTCGCGCACAAGCCTGGCCAGAGAGGGATGCAGCGATGGAAGGAGAGGCACAGACGGAGGAGCCCACTGCGCCAACACCACCCACTGCGCTGTCCGCGATGTGTGACCTGTTCGGGGAGACATACAGGGAGATTGTTGCATCTGCTGCCACCCTGCCTACACTTTTTGAAGCAGAGATGAAACGTTACCAGAATGAGACACCACTATGAGCCGACCAGGATCCACTCTTGTGGTGGAAAACTACGCACTGAAGTATCCAAACATTGCTCAGATAGCGAGGCAGAAGTTGGTCATACCTGGCACTTCAGTGAGGTCAGAACGGGTGTTTTCATCCGAGTGTCACGTTCATATTGCGTCAGCAATAAGCATCTTATTTTTTGTGTTTTTTGTAAAATAAATAAGTAAATAAATAATAATAATAAATTCAAATATTATTTGAACTCTACTAAATTAATTTGAAAATATTCGAACTCAATTTCATGGTGCTTTTGACAGCCCTAATGTGTACAGAGTTTCATTGTATGCAAGTAAGACCATTTCAAAGATTGATTTCCGTTCACAGGTTCCAGTTGTAAAGACCAATGGCTTTCACAGTGAACAGGAGTCGTCTCCTGCTCAGAGCCTGGAGCTGGAGGGCCGTCTGGGGGTCAGACAGGTGGGAGCAGGTCAAGGAGGAGAGGGGGCCGAGGATGGAAAAGGTCAAGGTCCCAACAGGAGGAGTCGAGACACTGGGCGGGATGGTTCCCACCACAACTGGAGAGAACGTAAGCTGATATGTGGAAGTGTTCAATATTAGATATATATATATATATATATATATAAATATATATATATATATCTAATTTACATTTTTGAAATCTGTTCTTGACAGCACTGAGAAGAATAATATTGTTGACACTGTAGAGATAAGTATTAAATATCATATTTTTATCAGAGATTTTGAGAATTATGTTCTGTCCTTAAAAACACTGACAGACAGACACTTGGTAAATACAAAGGGAAATTTAGGAAATGAAATTAAGTAAAGCAAAACATCCCAGTGAGCTCTGATAAACACATGCTTGTGATCTAAATGGACACGTACTGTTCCTGTGGCAGTTAACTTTACTGGAAATATGTCAGAGTGGGCACTAGTGAAAAATGCTCTTTGAAACAAGTGTTTTTGGGGGAAATAGCATTGAGTGGAATTTCTAATATGAAAAAGAGGTCCTATAAAACAAAGTGATTACATAATACTACTACTACTACTACTACTACTACTACTAATAATAATAATAATAATAATAATAATAATAATAATTATTATTATTATCTTAACTAAATTTCTATATGTCCTACAGTTTATTCATGTGGTTAAATAACTTTTTCATTGATTTAATGTTGAACACTTTGGTGTTCCATGTGGTCTGTAGGAGGTCTTCCTCAGGGCAGTCCAAGGTGGGGGGCCCCGGGCGGTGGTGGACGGGCCGGGCGAGGAGGAGGGGACGGTTCAGAGGGTGGGGTCGAGAGGCTGCATGATGCCCAGCTACAGCAGCAGATCATTCTGGCCCTGCGGAGGCTCAGAGAGGACATGAGAAGTGTGATGGAGCGGCTGGAGGTGGTGGAGAGACTCGCCGCCACACATGTAAGCATCAAAATGACTGTTGTTGTTTGTTGACAGCATACGTGTTGGATTCTTACAGGAAGACAACAGTTGCTGTTTAATATGTAGAGGGTCAGGTTTAACTTCCTTTTGTTAAAATGTTGATGTCATCATAGAAATTCAAAAAGCTGAGCTCATCTGAACAAAGTCAAAGTATTGTCTTTAAATCCAAAAAAAAACACACACAAAACCTCATGTCAGTGTTAATGTTTAACTTGCATCAGTTCTAAGCTGCAGAAATTAACTTGCGAGATAATTTTTAGAGCATTGGAATTGACCAGTAGCCCTTTCGTCGTCATGCAGGTGCATTGTGGTCACGTTTTAGTCAGTAGAATGATACAGTTGGACTTTGGGGCAGAAATGTAATGTAAGCTTATTTTTACTCTTGTGTCTGTATTGATGTCAGAGGAATGCAGAGGTGAAATGGGAAGTCAGAAATGTCAGAGGAGCAGGATGCCTGGTTCAAAATGTATTCTATAGTTTTTCCTATAATCATTAGATCTTATGAAAAGATTTAAAGTAACAATGTGTCAGTCCATTTCTCAATACTTACTGACATCCCTACTGTCTGTGGCTCCAAAGACTGTTTAGAAACTTCTCACAAATACATAGTTTCATTTTTTTAAAGGCCTCAGTAATTTATACAACAGCAGCTTACTGTAGTTTTTCACACACGTTAGTCAAACAGGAGGAAATAGTGCAAATGTTGGGTCTATTTTCAGCAGCAGATTGATCCACATTTGGTGCTCTACTGCAGTGGTCCTAAACCAGAGCTCTGAGGAACCCCAGGGATCTTTGAGGGAGTTTCAGGGGGTCACCAACAAAAATGGGGAATAGTTTTTTTCACTATTTAAATAACTAATGTGAGTAAGAGTCTGAAGAGTGACTAATCTGTTCATTGGTTTCACTTTCGTTTTTTTTCCTCAACTGTAGATGGCAACTGTAGAATTCAAATAAACACAAGAAGTTTGTGCTCAATCATATCTAACAACCCACATCTTTTCAGGTGGAGCGCTTAAGTTAAATCCTATCAAATGGGGGTCCATGACCTAATGTGTATCAATTTAGGCACCCTTGACATGAAAGTACTTGGGGCAGTATCACTCTAGATTGTTTTGGTGTGAGTTGCCGATTGTAAAGATGTCTGCCTTCTCTCCAATATAATGGAACTAGATGACACTCGGCTTGTGGAGCGCCACAAAAATACATCTGAAAAACTCAACAGCAACATCTCTTTCCAGAGATCATGATCTGATTAATCAAGCCAATTCACAAACCTTGTTGAGAGCAGTTTCATGTTGGAATTATTTTCTTTGTACTGCACTACACCTGCCAATTGTATCAGTTCACCTAGCACCACTAAGCTAGTCAAGGTTACAGCTCAGACAAAGAGGACACTATTAATGTTTACATCTCTCACTGTCATGAGTACAAGCCTCTCATCCATGCACACTTCCTTCCTTCTGCCTCCTTCCTGTTGTTTTTTTGGTGAACTGTCCCTTAAAGCTGCCTTCAGAGCTCTGAGGCTCACTGCTGTTTTGTGTGTGACAGGCCCAGAGCTCAGAGTGGAGACCATGTCTACAGTGTGCAGCCTCAGCCTCCAAAGAGCAGGTAAGAAGTTAGACACACACTTATTGACTGACTGTCTGACGTGTAATGTTCAGTAAGAGTTATATAGTCCATTCCCTGTTTGAACTGGCAGCTCTGACTGTGTGTTCTCTGATAAATAATGAGCTGCATGATTTTTGTTTCAGGAGGACAGGTGGTGGCAGTTTGACATGTCCGGTCAGACCGTCCTCCTCTTCCTCTTGTGGCCGTTTGTCGCTCAGGGTTTGGTCTACCTGCTGAGGAAAGCCCAGAAAAGGAGCCGCATATCTTCATGAAGAAAGCCGATGATGACGTTCAACCAATCACCTGTAGTAATCCATCGGTGCAAGGAGTTTAATCTGTACAGAGGAAAGGATCAAATATGAATTCATGGGACAGCTGCACCTTCCTTCATTCTGTGCACTGAACAGAGGGAGATAGGTTTGTGGACTTGGTGCCTGCTTGGAGAGAGATGTATGTGGTTGGATCCAGAAATCTTCTCACTCACCACAGCACATAAATCTGTATTTAAATGATTCAAGTGGAGTCAGTTGGCTTGTCTTGGGAAGCGGGAAGCAGATAAAGATGATATTATCAAAACTGGATGGGTGGTTATACTGATCATGAGCCTGAGGTACTGAATAAACCTGAATTAAAGACTTGGATTATATTAATATATTACTCAAGTTAGTGAGACATGATGTACATTCACTGTATTCTATTTACTGTTGGGTTTTGCTACCATAAGATCAAAGTCATTGTAAAATACAGCACACTGCAGCCAAAGTATCTGCTCTGGAATGGAGGAAGTCAGTGTACAGATGTCTTATTAATACGTCATGTAGCTGTAAAAATGTCACTGTCTCTCTGATATGGGGAGGAACCACTCTGTGCTTACACTTGTCATTTCATTGTTATCTCTCACATCTGATTGTTTACCTCAGATTGTTCGTCAGAGTCTCTGCTGACATATATTTAAGTCTTACGATGAAAGAATCCTTTCGGTGCTCTGTCTCTTGGACTGCTCATGTGCTAGCTGCACATTAATCACATCTACAGTACAACGTCTGATCACAGTGATACTAATGTATCTCATTTTATAGATCAATGTAAACATAATCAGATTGTTTAGTTACCTCCTGAGTCTGCTATTGTGACTCCAGGTGTGATCAGATGATAAAGAACACTGAAGTGACAAGTGTAATTGAGACAGTCCTCACCAAATGATGGGAGAACTGTTTGATAACTGCCCTGTAATGAACAGTTGTGTATAATACTAATGCATGAGCTCAGATTAAAAATCTATATTGAATAGAAGGTTGTGTTGTGTCAAGTCTCAGTGGCAAATACTAACAATGAGGCATCAAGTTTCACAGCAGTAACAAAGTGGCAGTAACAGCTGATGTTGATGGTGCTGGTTAAATGGTGAGTACAGTGGCATGCACAAGTTTAGGCACCCCTGGTCAAAATTTCATTTACTGTGAATAGTTAAGTGAGTAGATAATGAAGTGATTTCCAAAAGGCATAAAGTTAAAGATGGAACATGATTTTCAACATTTCAAACAAGATTACTGTATTTCTTTTGTACAATTTAAAAAAAGGAAAGGAGCACCATGCAAAAGTTTGGGCACCCTGTGACATTTGAGCTCTCAGACAACGTTTACCAGGTTAGGAAAGGCCAGGTGATGCAAATTTCAAAGCTTTATGAATACTCTGACTCCTGAAACCTTGTCCCAACAATCAGCAGCCACAGGCTCCTCTAAACAGCTGCCTAACACTCTGAAAACTAAAATAACTGATGTCCACAAAGCAGGAAAAGGCTATAATAAGATAGCAAAGTGTTTTCAGGTAGCTGTTTCCTCTGTTTGTAATGTAATTAAGAAATGGCATTAACAGGAACTGTGGAGGTCAAGTTGAGGTCTGGAAGACCAAGAAAACTTTCTGAGAGAGCTGCTCATGGGGATAAAGGGCTTTTTTTGGGGAGTTTTTCCTTATCCGCTGTGAGGGTCCAAAGGACAGAAGGATGTTGCATGCTGTAAAGCCCTCTGAGGCAAATTGTTATTTGTGATATTGGGCTTTATGAATAAAATTGATTGACTGATTGTTAGAAAGGCAAACCAAAACCCCCGTTTGACTGCAAAAGACCTGCAGGAAGATTTATCAGACTCTGGAGTGGTGGTGCACTGTTCTACTGTGCAGTGACACCTGTACCAGTATGACATTCATGGAAGAGTCATCAGAAGAAAAGCTTTCCTGTGTCCTCACTACAAAATTCAGTGTCAGAAGTTTGCAAAGGAACATCTAAACAAGCCTGATGCTTTCTGGCAACAAGTGCTGTGGACTGATGAAGTCAAAATAGAACTTTTTGAACGCAGTGAGCAAAGTAATGTTTGGAGAAAAAAGGGGGCAGAATTTCATAAAAACTGTTAAACATGGGGGTGGATCGATCATACTTTGGGCTTGTGTTGCAGCCAGTGGCACAGGGAACATTTCACTGGTAGAGGGAAGAATGGATTCAGTTAAATTCCAGCAAATTGTGGAAGCAAACATCACAGCATCTGTAAAAAAGAAGAAGAGAGGATGGCTTCTACAACAGGACATTGATCCTAAACACACCTTGAAATCTATGGACTTCCTCAAGAGGCGCAAGCTGAAGGTTTTGCCATGGCTCTCACTGTCCCCTGACCTAAACATTATTAAAAATCTGTGGATAGACCTCAAAAGAGCAGTGCATGCAAGACAGCCCAAGAATCTCACAGAGCTAGAAGCCTTTTGCAGGAAGAACGGGTGAAAATCCCCCAAACAAGAATTGAAAGACTCTTAGCTGATTACAAAAAGTGTTTAGAAGCTGTGATACTTGCCAAAGAGGGCGCTACTAAGTACTGACCATGCAGGGTGTCCAAACTTTTGCTTCAGGACCTTTTCCTTTTTGTTGTTTTGAAACTGTAACAGATTGACATAAAAAAGTAATCTTGCTTAAAGCATTATAGAAATGTGTCATCTTTAGCATTTTGCCTTTTGGAAATCAGTTCATCTTTTACTTAAGAATTCACAATGAACGAAAACATTTGCATGCAACTGTAGCTATATAATATGGTGCAATTATCACCCTTTATTATCCCCTGTCCTAACAATCACTATCCAGGGTTTGGTTGAAATAAACCCTCCATTAACCCAGTTGGATGTGACAATATGTTCATTCTGTATACACTAAAATGTTTATTTAAATGAAGTCTGGTGGGTTTGGTGATAGTGATTTCAGGGCTGTTTCTGATTAAACAAAAAGGATCTTAATCTTTAACAAAAAGGTCCATGTCTGTAGGGATCCTTTTACATAATGTTGTCCAACACTTAGATTGACAATCTGAGCCTGTCAGCAGCAAAACAAACATAAATACAAACAGAATCATACAACGAAGAGACTTCAGAAGTAAGATACTTAAAGGGTGAATCTGATATTCTCTTATTTCAAGGTGGTTCTTCAGCAATTTCATGTTGTTTTTCCACTAAGTTGCAGAACTCACGAGAAAAACAAGGTCAAAATTGAATTGGCAGCAGCTGAGATATTCTTAATTTTGATTCCCAGTCTTTAGCCAAGCCTCATAAATGCTCGTCTTCCATACCACCCAGTTTAAACGTCCAGAGACAGAGAAGACAATATACAGCTGAGTTGCACTAACCGTGACAGGTAAACTCACCTCTGCGTGTCGCATCAGTAGACGTCTTCTTTACTTCAGGCAGGTGCAACGAGTGTTTCTCCTCAGATTTCTGTCAGCAGCTGGAGGGAAATATGAGTTTGTCTGTAGGCTGATGGATCTCAGTGGTCAACCGAAGTGTTACATACATACTTCTGTCAGCTAAAGAGTTTATGATATCAGTATCAGAGATGGCTGGTGGAGGGACATTCATTTTAAGTCACTTTATCTTTTCAGTCTCATTACAGCTTTATGCTGTGAAACCAGACGTACCTGTCCTTACATCCAGCTTGCTGTGATTATTGTTACACTGTGGAAGTAAATTCACGTTTGAATTCACTTCATATCCATATATGAATGAAAAAATAAACACAACCCCACTTCCAAAACAAATAATTTAATATATTATGTATAATAATTATATACACAGGTTAACTTAACAAGGCTTTGTACAACTGTTATAAAATTGGTCCACGCACAGTCACCCACGTACATAAAGTACATGCACAAGGGCACAGATAGAGAGAAGGACAGACTGAGTCTAGATATGATTAAGACAAACATGGAGTCTGGTTGGGTGAGAGTGGTTGGCAGTACAGTTTGGTTCAGCTCCATTTAATTTTTTTTCTCTTTCAGACTTTTAATGGGAGCAAAAGTACTGAAAATGTGAAAAGGAAAAATGCAAATATATCACTCAGGTAAGACTCTGTGGTTTTGGATTTAAGGAGGTTATTAACTCACTTTCAACTGCTTCCATGACAATACTCTTAGTAACACTGATATTATGTATTAACTGAGCCTCACTGTTGCACTAAGTGCTGAACATGTCTTGGCTCCATACTGCTGATATTGTACAGTTACCCAAATAGAAAAGAGAAGAATTTTGGCATGACTTCGCATAGCTGCCTTGAACACTTTGCTCCTCTGAAACAGGCATTAACTTCCTCAAAGCTCTGGCACTCCTCCCCCCACATACACAATACACACAGGGAAGCACAATAGGCTTGTGTTGAACACTTAGGGTTTGCATATTTTTATATGTCACTGACCCCATGCATGCATTTGTTTAGTCCATGGAAGCTTTGGCAGTCATGTCATCCAGAGAGAGTGAGTTGTTTTGCTCCCACAGATCGATGAAGTTCCCTGTAGATCCACAGGAGGCTTTGGAAGAGCTTGTAAAGGGCTGAGAAGTAAACTGAGGTGAGGTTTCCTCTGAATTAGTGTACTGTGCTGTACTTAGGCCGGCAAGTGAGAGTGCATATGCGATATTTGCCCACGTGGATAAAAAACAGTGGGGGAAGACACCAGCGCGTACAGCACAGTCGGTTTGCAGTGAAAAACACGTGGCTGATGACTGCTGTAGTCTTTGCTGGTGAGGGTCAGTTGTAACAGCAGCAGCCGGGCTCTGGAGTTGAATTTCAAATGTCTGATATGGCTTTCTCTTGTTTTTAACTCCTATTTTAAATCTACAATTGAAGGGTTTCATTCCAAAACATTATTTCAGTGATACATATTTAAGCCCATGTGTAGGATTTGAAAACTCCTTACTGTGGCACCATCTTGTGGCTGTATGCAGAATAGTATTGTAAAACACTGACTGCACACTGTGAAAAGTGTTTCCAGTTATAACACTCTAAAGGACTAGGTTATTGGCCTGGCATCACCAGATCAATTTGCAAATGCAAATTAGTCTGCAACTTTTCAGTTCATGTTCGATTTCCAGGGGGCGTTATCAATGGCTGTAAATGGTCGTGACGTAAATCGTGATGTAGCACTGAGCAATGAACAGACTACAGCGTGCAGAAACGAGCTCTGATGGTATAGCATCAATATGTCTGTGAACAAGTGTTGCTGTTTTCACCATCAAATATACCACTCCTCTTTACTAAGCTAGGTTGATGCTCACTTTCCTGTGCAAGCCAGAAATAACATCTTTATGTATTTTGCATTAAGCAAAAAGATTCCATAAGTTGTCCGTCACCTTATCAAGGACACCCCTTAACAGATTAACAACTGTTTGTCTGTCATCTCTGTCATGTCTGGTGGAAATGTGTTTGAAGTGGAGGGGGAGCAGACGCATCTACCAGAGCAAATGAAAACATGAGTTCACGGATTTGTCTGGTTCCCAGACTAACACATTTAAAAATGGCAACATTTTATTGCAAAATCTATTCATTTAAGTGGAATTGTTGTGATCAGTGGTTTGTTGGGGTGAAGTAAATCCTTGTATCTTCAATACTTGAAATTGCACCCGTGACCAATAGCAGAGAGGTATTGCAGAGTTGGAAAAGTCCAGAACACTGGAAGCTACTGTAGTTTATTAACTGCATTGCACCATCCACTTAATTCAACCTCTCCTGCTGGAGGAAAATGCTCCACGAACTGTGTGACTTGTCAACTTTGTGTCCTGTCAATTAGCAAGCTACCTAGCTCAGAGATCCATTGTGACTAATACTAGTGTGAGTGTTGCTGGCTGGTTAGCATGTTAGCTTGCAAGCTACAGTAGTTCACCAACCTGCCTCTGCAAGTAAACATCATCTCACCAAGCTTCTAGCACCACCTATTTCATTTTGACTTTGCCCTAATGATTGCAGTTCAAGCTCGGACTATGTGTACAACAGATGTGTAGAAGCGTAGTATGTAAACATGTAAGCGAAAATCAAAGGATCCCATGGGTATTTTTCCTGAGAAAGGTGATCAGATTTTGGTGAAAATTTCCTGGAAATACCAGGATCTCAATTTGCAGTGCTCAGCCCTAATGTTCTTTTCAAAATATAAAACAACCTGGATAAATACATCTACAGTTATTTTGTAAGTAAAGGATTAAAGACAAATAGCTTCAAAAGTAGTTGAATAGTAGAATTTGTGTATTAATTTCAGAGCGAGTTTCACATTTTTCAAATGGGGGTTTACTCATTTTGGAATGAAACTCTACAACTGCATACAATGTCAAAGGATTCCTTATCCATGAGATCACATCTCTAACTTCAGTGCCATTAAAAAGCCAAGAGGGAACAGTCACAACGAATATCCCTAAAGCAACATGACAGACACTTGGCTTTAGAAGCAGTGACAGGTGATCCACTGTTTGTGAGTAAAGGGCAGGTACTTTGTAACTGCATTAGTAGATGAAAAAGTCTGGTTAAACCACCACTGTGTGGCGACGCCATGCTCTCGTCTTGTCCCGCGGGTCCAGGTTTGATCTTCTCATGACCACAGCTTGAGATCCTGGGGATGTCTGATCTATCCATCCTGAGGAAGAGGAGGAGAGAGGGAGAGGATCCTGGGCAAGATGAGGGAGGGGACCTATTTGCTGAATTGACCCGGGACCTACAATTGATCCCTGAGGAACCCCAACACATCCATGTTGGCCTGGTGCTCCCTCAATGACTCTGATCACCTCCACCCTCTCTGCTCTCCATCCTCTGACTCTGTCCTCACTCCTTCCCAGCTCAAGATCCAAATTCATGGAAACAGCCCTTGTCCTCCCACCTCTGGTCTTCCTGTAGCGGACTGGAGCTGACTGGTTCCAGTCTGGCTGCTGGGTCCCATAAAAGCTAGAAGCCTGGTAGAGGTTGGGAAGTCTGGTGGGGCAGATCCAGAAAGGGAGCGTGGGGTGTCCTCTGGCCAGAATGTGAGGCCTGAGATGGGAGGGAGGACTAGCCACTGTTGGGGGTCTTGTGTATGTGGAATGGATCTGATGGTGTGAGCAGACAAAACTTCTTGGACGCTGCGGTGCATTTCCTGGCAAGGTTGTCCTCCGCCTGCTCTCCCTTTCAATTTTTTTTGCACCGCTGCCTGTTCCATTCGTCACATCCTTTCCAGCCTCTTCCTCTCCAGCCAAGGACTCTTTTCCCTCTGTGGTCTCTCTAGCATTCATCCTATTTTCCTTTGCATCCCTTTTTTCTTTTTTAGGAATGGTATGTTCTTCCTTGACTGCCTCTTCCTCTCTTCTGTCCTCTTCCTCCTCCCCTTCCCCTTCCTCTCCTCCCCTGAAGTTGCTGGTTTTGACTGGCTCGTGGTCGGAGTCTTCGTCTGTGCTGCTGCCCCGCAGGTGGGTACTGGGGCATTTTTTTCGTTTGCGGGTCACAGCAGAGATGATGGACATGGGCAGGAAGTCCTTGGCATTCAGGTCCTTCTTGGAAAGCGAAGAAATCTGAAAGGTTCAAATTCCAGTCAAATGATGGTCATACCATACTTGATATTCCAGAATCTATTATCCTATTCCGAGAATATAAGTACAAATAAAAATGTCTTGCTTACCTTTGACTTAAGTGAATCGCTGGTGGTGGAATCTATTAGAAAGGAAAGATGAGGATTAGAACCATGTCATCATCGAACAAGTGTTGGTAGTAGTGTTAGGAGTGGTACAAAGGCGTGACATCTGCCTAATCACAGCACACACTACCAGTACTGCAACCTTTCAGGAGAACTCCAGCCATTATCGGAGGATTCGTCTTTATAGTCAACTGCAGTTTTCTCTGATTTATTCTAATTAGCAAAAATGGCTAGAGTTTCCTTTAACGTCATCAAGACAGAGCAGTGATGGTACACTGGTGGCACAACATGACTGATGGAAAGAAAATGATTGGGGAAATAAATCCAAGTGCAAAGGAAACACCAAACACAAACACACAAGGAGAAAGACCTGGTCCTACCGAAGAGGCTGATCCACAGTCTCAGCTAGAGAAAGAGTGCAGAAAGGTCCGAAAAAAGAGAAATTGAGAAAAAGTAGGAAACATCATGAGTATACACAGGCAGAAAAATAACAGCTGGAGAAGAACAGAGATGCATTGCGAAGAAGACACTGAGCTGAGTGTCTAAAGCCTCGTTTCCACCAAGCAGTCCGGATTAGTTCATTTCATATGTTTTCTTTTTTGTTTGTTTGTTTTTTTGCGCTTCCATGGTTAAAAGTTGTGGATAGAACCAATAGAACTGTTCACTTCCATCCCTTTTTTTGTTAGCCCTTTTTTTGAGGTACAGAGCACACTGACCTGATACTAAAAGGTTGAGCTAGAAACACTCCAGTCCATTGATTGGTCAAGAGAGAGTTGTCACTCGTGCTCAACAAGGACTCAATGCACAAACCAAAAACCCACTGTTAAAATATCCCATTGATTCCAACACAGACTTTAAATACTCTAGCCTGATCTTTTTGTTCCAAAATAGTCACGCAACCCTGTTCTGTGGACAATCAGCGAGGTGCAGATGTTCCTCTGCATCGCTGTTGAAGAGGAAATACAGTGAGAGCTGGATGGAGCAGAAATGTGACTATTACATCAGTTAAAACCCCTCCTACATTCAAGAGTACCGTCTGTGGAAGAAACTGGAAGCAGCTATTACACAGGGGCAAGTAAAAATTGACTTTGGCCCAACTTTGCCTGACTGGGCAAGTGAAAAAAAAAGCTATTAATGTTGAATGTTGAATTATCTCTATGACAATATGAATATGACAGATTAGATTATGACACTTCCTTACCTGATGCCTCTCCTGGCATGCCTGGCCTACCGATGTTGGACAGCAGATGGTCAATGTTGGGCACAGGCTGCATGTCCCGCTTATCCTCTGGGGCCTACCCATACACACACACACACACACACACACATCCAGAAATGCACAACCATACCCAAAATAAAAGTGCAGAGTACAAATGAGGACATCTGAGTACAAACAATCCCTGTATTAATGACACACTCGGCTCTTTGCACTAATAAAGCCACCACTGTAGTCATACCTTCTCTTCCTTATCGAGCTCTCCGTTAGTGAAGAACCAGTCATGCTGTTGAAATAAAACACAGTATCCCCGACATCAATTTAAAACACATAACGAGTGAAGAATGGTGCACTATTTTTTGACTTGAAGGATGCAACTATTGGTTCTTACGTGGAGGATTAGTGTCTCCACTATTTTGTAGCGATCAGGCATGTGGGTGACCATGTCGGTCATATTGTCCTCTGACGTCCTCACCAGAGTGGGACCAAACACCAGAGCCAGGTTTCTTGGCTCCATCTGGAAATTATATCAAAGTTATGTTCATGTCTGGCTCCATGAATAACCAGGACACAAAAATCTAGCTGCTTATTACAAGGGGTTGGGTTACCTTATTCTTTTCAGAGTGATCGGCCACCTTCTTGAGGTGACCCACCAGGAACTTTAGGGTGTGATAGTAGTGATCTGGGAGGTCATGGATCTGGATAAAGAAGAGGATAAAAAGGTTGATTGGATTTTAAAGTGAAACACAGAGAATCTAAGACAAACATATTTATTGTTCTATATTCTGCTGCCGTCCTTTGATACACACCAGTTTCTTCATGGTCTTCAGTCTGTCCTCTGCGTCCTCTATCCGGTTGGCATCAATGAAATCATTGTATTTGTCTGCAGACAGAGAAGGCATATCTATATTACTGAAAGCTAAACATTTCTGCATTTGTATGATCATTTCCACATGCAAACAACAGGCAGAAATAGGGGGAAATAATCCAGTGGCATCCCACCTTTTATATTCTATACTACACACATTCATTGTGAAACATGCTATACTTCACAATAAACAAATGACTGGACGCACCATCAGTAAACAGCGGCTCAGGCAGTTTTCGGAAGAACGATTTGAGCAGGCTACTGATTACATTCAGGTCCTGCCATCTCTGTGGACACAGAAAGGGTTAAGTTAAGAGGGGTTAATATTTCCAGTGCAGCATTAAAAAAAATGACACACCTTATCTAACAAAATGATTCTTGGTACAAAAATACTCTTATGTATGACACCAGCTGACACATTAATAGGTTTAAAAACCTTTAATTCTGTGTGATAAAATATGTAAGCCTTTTGCCACATATCCTGCACACCTCTTCAGCAGTGTTGATGTCCATGCCTTTGTTGAGATGCTCCTGCAGGTTGGACACCATAGCGTTGTTCCCTGGCACCCGGTAGATGCCAGTGTATTCCAAACCCGTCTCCTCCACCACACCACAGCACATCTCCACGATCAGAGGGACAAACTGTGAAGCAATGGACAGAGATGGAGGGAGGGAGGTGCAGACAAAAAATAAGGGCAAATTGGTGGAAAACAGAAAGAGGAAAGTAAGTGTGGTGTTTGTAAATTCTACTTAAACTGAAGCGGCTGGATACCAGTCCAACAAATCAGACACAATTCTACTTAAAGCACTGAGATGATGCTGTATTCTAACATTCAAATGACACCCTTAGGCATGTGACAACATTGCTTCTACAAAGGCCCCTGCTTATCAGGGTCCAAAATTAACACCTGCCAAGTGCCAAATGCGGGTAGATTTTCCTTTTGGCAAGTATTCATACCAAAACAGTCATGTATGAAAAAAACTGTGCTAAGAGTCTCTACCACGTTTTGGTGTTATTTAGGGGTACGCTGCTCTGCTGCTCCTCTCCTGTCAGTGTCGGAGTTTCAAGACACACACAGACTACTGATGTGTATTTATGCACTTCTAAACATCCCCTACTTAAAGTTTGTATCCAACAAAATACCTTATTATTTTAACGAAATGTACTAAAACAAATGTATATGTGAGACAAAAAGGCAATTTATTATTTTAGCAGATTAAAAAATGAGCTTGGCCAGTGGATTTTTTTCATCTACCAGTCCTCTTGGCCAGTGAGTCAAAAAGTGAATTTTGGACACTGCTGCTTATCTTCCAAATACGTATGTCACTAGTTAAAAAAGTTAAAGTTAAAAACTAAAAACTAATAATGACACCATGATAAGCTAAGAATTAATCTCACAATATTAACTGGAAACCAATGCTAACTTAAATAAGTAAAGAGTCAGTTCTGACTGCTGTTCCACTTCTTAAAGTTCATCATTCAATATTCTAGATGTAAAGTGTCCACTATGTGGTTAGTGTTCTCTTTTTGTCTACATATGACATGACTTTTTTAGACAGAAGTAGAATTCATGCTATTTTTATGCTCTGAATCATGTTGTTGGTGTATTTGTTCATCTTTCATCAGAAACCACTGTAGGCTTACTTTATGGTTGACAGCAGGCTGACAGTCCTCCAGTCGCACACCAAAAGCCTTCGGACTGCCTGTCTTCTTGGCCTTCTTCATGATGTTGATGCCCCACAGCGCCTTGTTGTCATCTGCACGCGTGCACACACACACACACACACACACACACACACACACACACACATGGTCACACATTCAAACTTGGTATTTATATCCACATGGAAAAATAAATTTATACGGACACAAAAAATTGACGGTTTGATAACTGGCCAATGGTGCTGGCTGCTCTATAGCACACCTAAATCAAATACAGGTGTTGGGGAATATTGGTTTTGCTAACTGAATGACGTGTAAGTGTGTAAGATGCCTTGTGTACAAAGCAAGAGGACAGGAGGACTGAAATTTTGACCTCTTGGTGACATTGAATGTAAACTCAGAGTATCCCCAATCTGGACACAGACTGAAACCCTTCATGTATTCTAACAACAACATCCCAGTTTTGCCCTTATATAGTTGTAAGTTCACTTATCAGAAACTAGCAACCCTGTGACTTTGGGACACATTTTTATTGTCCATCAATGGCATTTTTAAAGTGTACATTTACTGTACGCTGCAACGTGTAGTTACATTTCTGGAGAGGTGCACGTCAGGCTATGACATAGGTATGGCACTGATTCAGTGCAAAAATATAAATCCTGCTTAAGAGCCAAATGTCCTCAAATTCTAGAAACTGGCCCCTGGCTCCCTCTCATTTGCAAAATTGGCCCTCAGGCAAAGCAAGTTGAGTAGTCCTGGTGTAGGAGAACTACAATGGCCATGGATGGCCATTTCTAGAGCCAGTGTTTGTTTTGTTTTTTGAAACAACATGGCGGACTCCGTGGAACAGGACCCGCTCCATATGTAGATATAAACCGCTCAGTCTGAGGTAACCAAAATTCAATTCTTTGTTACAGGTCATTTGACACTAATAAAAACATAGTGAAGAATATTATATTCCATTTCTGCCAATAGTACATGTATCATATAAAGTATGATGTATAGTATGAAGGGAGTCTATTTAGTTTTGCAGGTATTTGGTCATAAACCAAAGTATCGGACAAAATGAAATCTTGACGTCATTTTCCATTCTTCGAGTCACACTGCTAGCATGGCTAAAGAGTCAGATGCCAATCTCAGTGTGTTTACCTTCCTACAGTTATCATTTGTTGTTTACTGGCGAACACAGGCCAGAGTCATGTTTGTACCCACCGGTTCTGGGGGCTCGGTTCACTGAGGTGTTGTCAGTCTTGGCCAGCAGGAAGGGAGGCATCATGCGATGGGCTCTAGGAGACGAGTCTGGCTTACTACCTGTCAGACTGTTCCCAGAAACAAAGACAGGTGAAGATAAAACGAATTGTGATTAGAGGTTATTTTTGAAGGTTAGGTTTAGTAAAGATTTCAGTAAATAAAGGGCTCTCTCAGGTCTTAATACCTTTAACAAATCTCATTATGACCTCAGGTTTATGGTAAAAAAAAAGAGACATACACTTTTATTCTTAGTTTATTCTAGTTTTTGGAAACTGCCTTCAAAGTTACTGTCTGTGACAGGCTTGGAGCCCAAAGCTATGGTGACTCCTAATTATACAAAGGGTAAGGGACAGTTGTGATCAAGGCTTTCTGCTGAATATAACCCAGCGTGCTGACCTGTGTTTTCTGTAGTCGTTGAGCTTCTTGTTGATGAGAGCTTGTCTTGAGAAACCAATCTCCTAGAGCAAATAGAGGTTACATATTAGTTCAGTATGTGTGTGTTTGTGTAAATTCCATAACATTATCTGGGTATGACGCTCTAACCTCGTTGTCGGTCTTGCTGTTCTCCCTGATGACCTTGATCCAGGCCAGCATGTCATCCCTGTCCTCGGCCTGCAGCAGGTACTCGCAGAAATCTTGCGTGGTCAGCCTCAGGGTGTGCTTACGCTTGGTTTCACTGTAGGCGATGTCGATCAGGCAGCCGCGGATGCTGATTGGAGGATGCTCGTCTTGGCTGGGCCCCGCCCCTGCCCCGTGAAGGACGGCTTCTCGCTTGTCCTTGTAGAGGAAGAGCGAATGGAAACGGAGTACGGAGAAGACCCGCTTCCATGGTCGCATGCCACCCCCTACTTTCTACAATGACGACATATAGAAACAAGAACACAACACTGAAAAGACCAAATCAATGTGACGTCATGCTAAAAACAACAACTTCCGAAATACGTCAAATTGGCATATTTGTTGATTTCTGTTGTCTTTTTCAACTTTAACTGTAACGTTTCAAGATATACAGTACAGGCCAAAAGTTTGGACACACCTTCTCATTCAATGCGTTTTCTTTATTTTCATGACTATTTACATTGTAGATTCTCACTGAAGGCATCAAAACTATGAATGAACACATGTGGAGTTATGTACTTAACAAAAAAAGGTGAAATAACTGAAAACATGTTTTATATTCTAGTTTCTTCAAAATAGCCACCCTTTGCTCTGATTACTGCTTTGCACACTCTTGGCATTCTCTCCATGAGCTTCAAGAGGTAGTCACCTGAAATGGTTTCCACTTCACAGGTGTGCCTTATCAGGGTTAATTAGTGGAATTTCTTGCTTTATCAATGGGGTTGGGACCATCAGTTGTGTTGTGCAGAAGTCAGGTTAATACACAGCCGACAGCCCTATTGGACAACTGTTAAAATTCATATTATGGCAAGAACCAATCAGCTAACTAAAGAAAAACGAGTGGCCATCATTACTTTAAGAAATGAAGGTCAGTCAGTCCGGAAAATTGCAAAAACTTTAAATGTGTCCCCAAGTGGAGTCGCAAAAACCATCAAGCGCTACAACGAAACTGGCACACATGAGGACCGACCCAGGAAAGGAAGACCAAGAGTCACCTCTGCTTCTGGGGATAAGTTCATCCGAGTCACCAGCCTCAGAAATCGCAAGTTAACAGCAGCTCAGATCAGAGACCAGATGAATGCCACACAGAGTTCTAGCAGCAGACCCATCTCTAGAACAACTGTTAAGAGGAGACTGCGCCAATCAGGCCTTCATGGTCAAATAGCTGCTAGGAAACCACTGCTAAGGAGAGGCAACAAGCAGAAGAGATTTGTTTGGGCCAAGAAACACAAGGAATGGACATTAGACCAGTGGAAATCTGTGCTTTGGTCTGATGAGTCCAAATTTGAGATCTTTGGTTCCAACCGCCGTGTCTTTGTGAGACACAGAAAAGGTGAACGGATGGATTCCACATGCCTGGTTCCCACTGTGAAGCATGGAGGAGGAGGTGTGATGGTGTGGGGGTGTTTTGCTGGTGACACTGTTGGGGATTTATTCAAAATTGAAGGCACACTGAACCAGCATGGCTACCACAGCATCCTGCAGCGACATGCCATCCCATCCGGTTTGCGTTTAGTTGGACGATCATTTATTTTTCAACAGGACAATGACCCCAAACACACCTCCAGGCTGTGTAAGGGCTATTTGACCAAGAAGGAGAGTGATGGAGTGCTGCGGCAGATGACCTGGCCTCCACAGTCACCGGACCTGAACCCAATCGAGATGGTTTGGGGTGAGCTGGACCGCAGAGTGAAGGCAAAGGGGCCAACAAGTGCTAAACACCTCTGGGAACTCCTTCAAGACTGTTGGAAAACCATTTCAGGTGACTACCTCTTGAAGCTCATGGAGAGAATGCCAAGAGTGTGCAAAGCAGTAATCAGAGCAAAGGGTGGCTATTTTGAAGAAACTAGAATATAAAACATGTTTTCAGTTATTTCACCTTTTTTTGTTAAGTACATAACTCCACATGTGTTCATTCATAGTTTTGATGCCTTCAGTGAGAATCTACAATGTAAATAGTCATGAAAATAAAGAAAACGCATTGAATGAGAAGGTGTGTCCAAACTTTTGGCCTGTACTGTATAATTTATAGTCCCACCTATCTGACATTTCTGCTGTGTTAATTTACATACTGTGTTACCTTGCTAGCAACTTTAATAAACCCAATCTACTGGCAGAGAAACTCAATATCAGTTTAAGTGTATGCTATCTTTGGAATATTGCTCCACTTTATCTTACATACTAACCAATCGAGACAACAGTAGGCCGGCAACTCCGGTGTTCTCCCAAGTAAGATTACTGTTTTTGTCAGTAGAGTCTTGTGGCTTTATGCTTTCGATCCTCGTCGGAAAGGGCTGTATGACGGCAATGTAAAACAGTGAATATATTCTAAATATAGCATACATTTAAAGGTCCAGTGTGTAGGATATAGTGGCATCTAATGTCAAACTGCAGAAATCAAAATTCTTCTGTGTGCCTACCGTGTAGCAGAACTACTGTAACATCTACCTGGCATCTGTAAACTGTAGCCTTTACTCTGTTTTTGCATCATAAACTGAGCTAACATGATATTATGTAAGTAGGCATCAAATGTATATGTAAGACTATTTTACAAATAATTATAAAATTACTGTGACTGAGTTTTTAATCATCTCAGGAAGCTTAATTAGCTAACTTTAGCTAGCTAGAGGTGATTAAGTCGCCCTGATAGCTCGGCTAAGAAAATTGACAGCTGTTGAGTAGAAATGAGAAATCTGCTTCTGTCTGAAATCAATGACCCGTGTTTATAAAACTACAATGATTTCCACGTAGTAAATCTGCCGCCATTATTATTGTAAAATGCAGCTGTGCTTTAGTAGGATGGAGAGCTTGAGAGGTGAAGTGACAGTGTTTGTGGAGGCATCAGTTTTCTCGGAGTGTGTAAAAGCAGTGTGTTGTACCTTTCCCTTCTCTGTGAGGATCTGTTTGTAGTGCAGCCAGCCTTCCTTGCGAACATCACTGAAGGTGATGGTTCCCAGTTCAGAGGTGGAGTGGCGTTTGGAGCGGGCCTCCTCCTGGGCTCGCAGGCTCTCCAGAGACTGAAACACAGTTTATGGGTGTTATGGGCTGCACACTAGATGGTGTTTGCTTGGTTGCTGGAATATGAAAATAATAGAAATATAAAGTACATGGATCGTCGGGTCTAATGATTACAACTGTGTTGAACACTCACCCCATCGGTGAAAAAGCTCTTGACCCTTTTTGGTAGTTTGCTGTGGAAGAGGAAGCACACAAGTTAGAGAAGCAGCACTTCTGAAGAGTTTCAAAGGGGTTGCTATGGACAGTTGTTTTTTTTTTTTCTTTTTACAGAAATCACAGGTGAGCAGCTTTAGAAGAGAAATATACATACTACAAGTAAATAGTAAATATAAATCAAAACCAAAATACTATATAAAACAGTTAAAATTCCACAAAGTAGAACAGAGATTATACAAATAAAATTTTTAATATGTAGCTTTACTCTTTAATGGGAATAACTTAATAGTACATATCACAGATGATGAATACTGTAAGTGCCACTCTGATTATTAAAGCTTTCTTTAGTGTAACTGATGTTTGTCAGTTTTGGGGAATTTCCTATATAGACTACTGGAACAAAACAAACTCATTTCTGGGACTTTAATAGGCCTGTTTTAGTAAAGAATGCTGCTGTGAGTTCTTACGAGAATACTCGGCCTTCTTCCCTGAAGGTGTTAAGACCCTCGTCACAGGACTTGGATCTCTCAGTGGTGATGGCCAACAGGTAAGAGGAGCGGCGACCTTTAATACTGCCTGAAGGGAGAGAAGACAAGTAAGACAGGGAAAGAGGAGGAGGAGACACAGAGGGTAAAACAATATGCAATGTATGGTAGTGACATGTGAAATGACAACAAGATAAGTGACTGAAGTGATTTGTTGTGAGAGTAACATTAGCCAGGCGGATGAATTAAGGGGTTAAACATGTACATACTGCATATTAAAGGAATACCATGACATTTGGATTTTTAGTTCAAATTTTTGGATACATCTTACCCTACAATACTAACAGCATGCACTGTCCCTTTGTTATCAGGCACATTTAAATAAAAATTAAGAGAATGTATTGCCAATGTATTAAGCATACTGTGAGGACAACACCTTTAACTCTGAAACTTTTTTATGATTGTAGCATTTTTCAAATCATTTTGATGCCATATAACAAGACAATCAACTATGAGCCAAGATGGGTTTTGGGGGCAAAACATGCAATCATAAATAAAATCTTAAAATTCTCTTCTGTTGCATGGCAAACACTAAAGCTACAAGACAAAGACTAAAGACTAGAATTTGCTGAAACTTAATAATACATTTACTTTAAAGGGGACCTATTGTGTTTTGCTTATTTTCTGTCATATGTTATGTTACAATGTCGCATGTTCATATTAAATGTGGCCAAAATTTCAAATAATGAGGTAATTGTATGTAAAAGTAATCCCTGTGAGCAAAAACCTTAGGCTTCAGATGGTGTTAATACTCTTTTTCTAAACTTTTTTCTACATTTTGAGACAAGCTGACATCAGCTCATAAAGGATTTCTTTATATGGTGATTTGCTCCAGGCATGTCACTGCCAGTGTTTACATTACGTAGCCTACACATGTAGATACATGTTAACGTCAAGGAGACATGTGATCTTGGTTGCCAATGTTGTTATTTCTGCCCAATTTTGACGCTGACCAATAAGAGCACACTGGGCTTTTTCAAGAGGGGGGCTTAAAGAGACAGGCGCTAAAACAGACAGAGGGTGAATACACGTGTTCCATCACAGACAGTATGAGGAATATAAAGTGTGTTTTGGTCACTAAAGCCTGCAAACATGTTCTGCTAAAAGCCCAACCAAAGTATGAACCCAAAATTGAGCATAAGAGGTCCCCTTTTAGTCATTTTCCTTTTGGACAACTGCGGTTACTGTGCTCCCAACTACAACAACAAAGCATTCTGAATTTTTTCCAGCTCTGATTTGCATTACTGATAGTTTTTACAACCATCTGCACTACCAAATTGATAAAAAAAAAACTTGTCTATATTAAGGAGAATGTAGAATCTCATTAAAAGAAAACATTCAGTGGTTTGAGTGAGTGGTAACAAATACTTCTGGCACGAGTGGCCCATATCTTATGTGTGTCACTGTGTTTTTTAGATACCAGTAGAAAGTGCCAAAGTCAGAGATTTTCATATTCTACACACAGTGGCTTTAATTACTTCCTTATAAAGAGATGAATTCTAGGGTTCAGATTTTGTTTCCCTAAAAAACGAGGGGAATTCTTCATTTGCAAATGTCACTGTACTCCTTTAAGATGAGTCTGAGGCTGAGGCTAGACAAATATATCAGTGTGCCAAAATAAAGGCATTACATAACTGCTTGTCATTTTGATTCAAAAACATTGGCCGTGATGTTTGGCAATGTCAGTTCCAGCATACTGGAGAACATACTGTATATTGGCCTAGCCTTGTGAAGCCTTCCAGTATTTAGAGTGGGTGAGAGAGACTCACTGCAGTCCTGAGAACGAAGTCGGACAAAGGGGGAGATGGAGGAGAGGGTGGGGGAGACACAGGTGGAAGTGAGGGTGGCCATAGTGGAGGCCTGGGAACTGGACACAACAGAGCGGGCTGGTACATAGCAGGCCTGTAGGTCAATACTAGGACTGGTGGGTTCATCTGCAAGTCATCATCACTGGTGAGCAACAAGGGATGAGAGATGATTAAACACACTGACAGGACAAGACAAGCTAAGAGTTTCCACAGGTGGTGTTTAGGTTGTTAGAACATCTCTGTGAGGCGAAGCAACTCTGGAGGCAGAATTAACCTTGATGGAGAACCAGTTTTTCACAGGGAACATAAGCTACCTGACAAACCTGAATGCAGGAACAGACTATGTCAAAGAATTTAATTTGAATTCTAAGGCAAATTGCTCTCTGTATATTACTCTTTGTGAAGTTTATGATGTACTTAACTGGAAAAAATAAATGAACATTTGAAGAACATTTTGCTGTGTAAACAATAGTGGTGTCAGTTAGATTTGTTAAGGTCAGAGCTTTGGAATATTAAATCATCCATCTTTGGTCACTGCATCTTAGCCTTTCCTGTCCTCAGGTGTGCATAAACTACAGGTTTAAAACTTCTTTTTAAAATACAAAAATGTGACATTATCGGTTCTTTCGTCAGAATCGGATGTTAGAAGCTCGTATTTATCGGATTTTTGTATTGTCTGAAAAAAATATAAAAAAGTATAGTATACCTAGTATCAACAAGTCTGTATATTTTCAGTTTGTCGGCCTCAACAATTTTCCTCTCATACTCTTTTCCTTTTACACCAAGCTTCAGTCTACAGTTATGTTCTCTGGCCTGCTGACTGAACGTTTAAGATTATTTCTGACCCCAGAGAAGCTCTGTTTCTCCAAAATGTTTCCACAACTTCAACTCCATCTACTGTTGCTTATTTACAGTATACAAACACTGGACATGTAACAACTCAAAAACATTCATCAGCATAGATTTAAACACACAAAAAACTAAATGTACTGAGGGCACAAGCATTATGTTGACATGTATATGACACACACTGACAGGTAGAAACACAAAATGTTGAAAAGGATAGAAACACAGACAGAACTTAAGTCTCACATACATCAAGTGAAATATATTTAAGAGCTCTGTAGCAACAGACAACATAATAACAGTTCCAAATATACAAAAATGTGCCTGTTAATGAATTTCATAAATTTCAGCAATTCATAACACTGGGATGGTGTAATGTTATCTCATCTTCTTAAAGACCTTTTTGAATTTTACACCACTTTTAATATTATAACCAGTTGATGTAAACTTGCATTATATTGCACTGCATTATCAGGACATTTTTGAGGTCAATTTCTTTACAGTGTTGACAAGATGTGTCATCTTCTGATAGCCAGAGCTGTTGCTACAGAGAAAAGGTCACTAACCTATGAAGGGAATAGAGGACAGGGAGTTGTATGCATGCTGTGCCAGGCTACCATTAGCCCTGCGGTTGGGGCCGGGCCCCCCAGCAACAGGAGAGGGGGTCCCTCGTGTGGGTTCCAAACCAGGGGGCTCTGGTGACTCCGCGGGTGTGGTGTAGTGGGGATGTCGAACAGCCTGAACAGGGGTTCGGCGGCCAGAGGGTGGCTTCTGCCTAAGGACCACCTCTTGATGCAGGGTGATGGGGGAGATGACCTCCCTGTCCTCACCCAGTCGGGCTCTTTCCTCCTCTGATGCAGACAGGGCGGGGGTAGACTGTGGCCTGGGTACCATCCCCCCCTCACTGTCTGCAGGGCTGCCGCTGCTGCCGGGGCTCCAGTTGAGGTGAGGGCCGCTGTAGCTGGGCTCTCTGAAGGAGTGGGCCTGCTGGAGGAGGTGGCCAGCTTTGCGAGAGAAAGAAGGGCTGTAGCTTTTGTAGCCCACAAGCTCTTCATCTTTTACTCGCCTTGTTTGGGGTTCAGCTACCTGCTGACCTGACTGCCTGCCACTAGGAGGCACTGTGGAGGAGGCTGTGATGGGGGGTATCACTGTGGTTTTGTGCTGATGCCCTGTTGAAACTTTCTGCTCTCTGAATTTTGCCATTTGGGAGGCTTGTGCAGAGTGTTCATAGCGTGGCGACACCAGTGCAGAGGCTTGTGCCAGTGTTTCCACAGAACGCCCATAGTTATGCTCGTACTCTGCGTATGCTGCCAGGAGGCTCTCTGAACATGACCTGCTTCCTGGTCCTGACACACCACCCCAGCCCCCTAGCCAATAGGAATCATGGGAAGCAGCAGCTGCCTGGTGGTGGCACACGAGGGTTTCTCTTCTGCGTTGCTCAGCAGAGGTTGTGGAAGCAGGTGTGGGTCCGGGGCCGAGGGCCAATCCCAGCCCCAGCTCTGCTAAACAATCCTGAGATATACTGCGGTGGCGGGGGGACATGTGCTCTGCAGCTTCAGCTTGGCTGTAGTACCAGTCCGACAGAGCCTGGTGGCAGAGAGCATCGGCGTGAGTGCGGGCAGAGGCCGGCAGGCTGCTCTTCCGTGGTGGAGGCAGCGTTGCAGAGGCGATGGCAGCATTGTGGTTAGCAAAGTGAAAGTCCAGCACACTGATGGCTGAAGAGGAGCGGCCTCTGTGCCGCCCTGACGGGGCAAAGTGACCACTGGAATCCTCAGGACCTCCGGGCCAGCCGGAGGTGGGGGTAGAAGCAGCAGGGGGGCGGTTGTCCAGTGGAGAGGCGGCAGGGCCAGGTCGGCACTGCCAGTTGTCCAGGGGACTGTGGAGGTTGTGGCTGGGCTGTGGGGCAGTGGAGCTGGGCTTGGGAGAAGGGTAACAGAGAGGCGGCGGCGCAGGGAGGTTCTGGGCCTCGCCTGAATATGGCTCATTGCCTTTCAGGTAGGCATCCTGGGAGTACGCCTGAGGACAAGACGGGTTAAGACACAGTGTAAACCATGAGAGAAGAGAGAAAAGAACAAAGATGAAGGGAACAGCTAGAGGGCAGAGTGAGGCAGATGCAACATACATCATGCAGCAATATTTTTTTCTTCTGTTCTGTAAAACCTAGATCCTTATCATGCAACCAACACTAAAACTATTTTTCCTTTATGGAAATTTGTGGCACTTTATTACTGTATGGAAGCCAATTTCAGCCAGTGTGGTGAAAAAAAGATCCTGTGTTTATACTGAGGACCTGTGTCAAAATAATAAACTTCTCATTATTTTGAGATACCGAGTCTTATTAAAGTATTAGAAGTATTTACAAGAATTGAGTCTTGTTTAAGTATACTTAAGTATTTTAAGACACTAAATTGTTATTTGTGATAATAAGTCAATTGAAATAAAGTTTCTCATTGATTTAAGCAAGGAAAGTTTTTCATTGTTTTAAATACTTAGTCCTTCTTTCAGGATACTGTGTCACTATTTTCAGATACCAAGTCATTATTTTAAATAAAGTTTCTCGTTATTTTAACATACTTAGTCAGTATTTGAAGATACTAAGTAAATAATTTATGATACTAAGTCATATATTGAGATACTTAGTCAATATTTTAAAATACTTAGTCATGATTTTAAGACACTAAATAATTTATGATAATTTAATTAAAAAAAAAAGTTAAATAAAAAATTCTACTAAATAATACTAGGGATCTTTGTTTTATAACATCGGCAGACAGGGGCTTCCACTGTAATGTTGCTGTATTTCTTGTCTATCTAAATAGACAATGCCATTAATTTATTTTATTCTATGCTTTGCCTTCCATTTTACTGTATTTCTAAATGTAATTATGACAATAATAATAATAATCATTAAAATCCATGTTTTTAATTGTTTGTCCTTCTTTCATGCAATCTTTGATACCCATCTGTTCAAACTCATTTTGTCGTATGTCGACTGATAACGGTACAATTCTATCTGCTCATGCACAATAACAAATTTCCGTGGCAATACACAATCCCTGCTATTATGCAAACAGCCTAGCTATCTGCTGAGACTTAACACACTGACGAGGTGAAAAGAAGGAAAGAAGAGAAAATAGAAGAAAGATAATACTCACACTTACCAACTGCAACACATCCTCATCTTTGGGCATAATGGAGAGCTCCAGAATGTTTTCACTATAAAAAAAAAGAAAATATATTAACAAAATAAATAACAGGTCACGGGGAACATATAATAAGGTTTATCAACACCCACCTGTTTTGGATGAGTGCAATCACCTGAGAGTAGGTTTTCCCCAGGATGCTCTCCCCATTCACCTTCACCAGCCTGTCCCCTGGAGTACACACACACACACACACACACACACACACACACACACATGCATAGAAGAGGGGGGAATTATGTATGTGTTGCAGGAAAGGCTTTGGCTTTAGAAGCAGGGGGACACAATTGAACCAGAGGCTCTTCAGTGATGCTTTCCACAGAACAATAACATTAAATGCTGTGTTCACTTCTGTATTTTAACGCACTAAATCTTCTTACTTCTATAACAGTACTTTTTCAATAAAAAGCACAAAAGAATGATCAGCGATGTGAAAGAACGTCTTTTTTTATTGCAAAGTCAAGTTTAAACTTGACTATATTACCCGTAACAGTTCAAAGTACACTTAGATATATTAATATGAATGAATACAAAACACTTAAACAGGGGCACCGGGTTTCGGTACCCAACGCTAGTACACAGAGTAGGATACAAGCTCAACACACCACAGTTTTAGTTGCTTTAGACTGTCTGATTGATCAGAAAAAATCCTGTGGCTGGTTGCACCAGTCTGCTTGAAAGCTTTCACACCAGCATAAAAGAAACACACTAAATGGGTAAACATACCAGAGTTTGTTTTAACCAAACCAAACAGTTTAGGTGTAGGAACACCCTTAGTCTGCACACAGTATGCAAGATATTCCTTAAAAAATGTTCTATAGACAACAGAGTAATCCCTCTCAATCACTCATAATCACTCATGATCCACTAGCGGTGTGTGGCCATGTCTGTTTCTAGAAAGAATCTGCCCTCTGCCAGAATTTTCTTATTTTCTGCTTATTTTGCGTGTTTGGGGCACAAATTTGTTTTTATTAGGATGGCAACAGCGTACACGCCATGCCCTGTCTTACTTTGCCTCTGATTGACTTACCCTGATATTCTTACACTACCTCTAACCATTCTCACACCTCAAGCAGGTGCCACACCGTAAACAGCACACTTCCAAGAAGAAGCTACGGAGGCGAACTGCAGAGCGGACATAGCATAGAATACCTTTTAAGAGTAACTTTGGCAGTGTTTTGCTGCCCTTTCTGATTGAAACTTTCAAGCCTGTTTTACCTCTAACCACAGCCAGCATCACCCATCTGTGGCTGGATGTGAGCAGAAGTGTGCTCTGTTACACCTGTAACCACAACAGTGATGTCATAAGGTCCCAAAGTGTATATCCCTGCAATTACACCACTGGATTTTCAAGGGTTTTAAATTAGTCTTTAAGCCATTAAAGGGCAGCCTGTATGAAGCGGGGAGAAAAAACCCAGAGCAAAAAACTCTTGCTGCTGCTTGTTAAGTTTATTGCTGTTAGCACTCAGTAATGATTGAAGGTGAAGTGATGTCTGATTTGAATTTCGGCAGCTGGACAGAGAACACTAAATAGATATTTAAACAAGTGTGAGGACCCAGGTTCTGCTGTGTATCTATTGCATGTCTTTCATAGGTTTCCTGAATATGTGTGTGTGTGTTTTCTACCTGTACACAGTCCAGCTTGTTGCGCGGGGCCATTTTCTTTGACACTCTTCACAAAGATGGTGTCCATTGGCTCCAAACGAGACCGCTGACAACCTGCTTAAAAAACACATACATACAGATTATGTGCACACACATACATTCCCTGTACTGAAAATATCAACCAAACCCACAAAGCTGAATCACCTCCACCTACATATGGAAACATAAAGTTTCCCCCACACATCCCAAACATTCCTACATTATAACGTACAACAATAGATACACTAGATCCTAATGAGTCCCAAAGGCATGTAAAGACAATTATAGAAATATACTGACTCATCAGAGCTGACTGCCTGATCATTTTAAAAGAGTGCGTGGCTGGTTGCAGAAACACTCACCTTTTCCAGTTGCATTTCCGTTCTCCTCATCCTGTGGGAGAAACACAGAACAGGTGTAAAGGGGAAGAGGACCACAGGGAGGCGCTGTTCAGCTCATATTCAACCCAACCCGCCACTCCTAGCCCAGCTCTGACAGCTGACTGTCGCACGGATTTACTATTTGACAGAATGTCTGACTGTCTCACTGACTGACATATGGACTCTCTGTCAGTTTGGCTGTCTGTCTATCTGTCTGTCTGTCTGTCTGTCTGTCTGACTGGCAGGCCTGTTGGCTGGGTCTATCTGGAGGCTTTGATGCTTCGCTGAGTTAGCTCATTCCTGACCTGGACACACAAAAGGCTCTACACAGAGACTGAGGTATGCTGCTACACAACACCAACCTCTCTCTGGGCCAGAAGGATGTTGCTATACTGTCTACAGTACTACAGTACCCATTACCATACTTTCTACAGTACTACAGTTAGTGTATGTAGCGGTGGAGTCTGGATCACATCAGAAAAATGGTCAGACTGGCTTACAATGTTAAATGCACCTTGACAGTGCACGCAAGTACACAATTAAGCCTGTCAGCTTTATGACATCAGCACAGTTTTTTTTTTTTTTTTACCATATGTAGTATACAGACTGATCAAACATGCAAATATTGCCATTACTGGCACAACATTAGTCCAAAATTGCACTTGTTCAGTTTCCTGAGAGTTAGATAAGGGAAAAGGATAAGAATTGATATTGATTTTCTGTGAGTTTAGTATGGAGCTAGAGCTGAAAAAATAGCATAATGCAAAAATGAAACTAACATAAATGTTAAATTAGCAATTTGTGTTTTTGGATGAGGATGCATGCTAAAACTAGTTCATGATGACCTGGTTCTGCATAAACACCGTTTATTTTTACAGCATCTCCATCTATAGCACAGCTTGCCACGGTTTAAGGTCAGATTTACCAAATAAAAAATAAGTAGCAAACTAGTCAGTAACATGCATTTAATTAAGCCTCGGAGCAGGAGCCAAGTTAAGATCTGCTGGTTACAACCTTGACATAATAAATATGAAAACTAACAGTTTAATCATTTTGCAAACAAGAGAGTCTCTATCAGACACTTACTTATAACTGAGGAAAGAAGATTATTAATTAGGTACAAATAAGATTATCATCAAGCTTATTACATAGTAAGCTTAGTTTACTGCAAGTAATAAAATAATTGTCTTAAAATGTGACACAGCCCTTTAAGTTGACTACATAGGTTTAACCCTTGAGTGAGAAGTGTTAGTTGAGTGGATAACATGAGACTAGTCTACAGCGTTAGCTGCTCCGGTATCCTTTAAAAGACCTTGTGTTGTCATGCTCTGTCAGTGTTGTCAACATGCTATATGATGACAACAATGTAAATTCACATCTGTATTGCATAAATATGTATTATGGTTATTTAAAAAAATATATGTTCACATGCTTTGACATATTTGTTACTATCTACTATCATAAGATAGGCCTACTGTGATTTAATATGACTCAATATCTGAGTTTGTGTCAGTTTAGGGGGACTGTCAAGAGGGAAATTTTGTGTTAAAGAATAAAACATAAATGTGCACACAGAAACTGGATTTTGTTGATAATTAGCACTAAACATAAAGTGCAAATAAGGCTGATGGAAATGTCATTTGGTCACAAATTAAATAAAATTTTTGACCTAATGATTGTGCTAAATAAATCTGTTCTAATCCATCTAATAGATGTGGAAATATTTCACTAGATAAAGTAAAAGTTTGACCTGCTGATTGTGCCAGATAAAATCGTCCACACGTCACCAACGTCATTGGGAATCATCCTCTATGGACATTTACAAAGGTAAGGGGACGTGAGTTCAGGGCAAGAGATTGCAGAGCCAGGTCCAGTACTGTATTAAAGTACATGGTACTACATTGTAGCTAGTAAAATTGTATGTGGTTTTTGCTCTTTACACCTATTACAACTGCTGTTTGGTCAATTAAAGACAGGAGCTTATGCCATTTTCAGTGAGTTTGGTATTTGCCCCTATGTTGGGCAACATAATTAGGCTAATTTAACAAGCCTTCTGTTTGACCAAGTCAAAAGTAACATATGTCTATTTAGCTAATTGTCTATTTTTTCATGTATATTAGGGATGCACTGACTGTGACATTCTGGGCTGATACCAATACAGATATTTTTTTGTTGTTGTTTCTTTTGTTGTTATCCCCCCTTTTGTTCCAGGCAAAGAAAGAAATCTTCATTATAAAAAAAATAACTGAACTGTCTTTAAGTCATTCAGCCCTTCATTACACTGCCTTTGAATGAGCACAAATTCAGTCATACACATTCATGAAACTACCTTTATAATAACCTTCTTTCACATGAAAAACATGTTTTTTATTAACTTCTTGAAAAGCCTTTTACTCTATATGATATAACATAATGCTCTCTCTAATATCTTTTCTTATATTGTTGTGAAGACACAACAGATTTCTCCTTAAAGCAGCTGTATTTATTCAAGATTCTTGCCCAAACCCATATTTCACAAGATTACATTTGAACACACCATGACAACGTTATAATTTACCTTCGTTCAAAACTCATTTCTACTGAATAGAGATGAGTTTTTACCTTCGTTCAAAACTCATCTCTATTCAGTAGAAATGAGTTTTGAACGAAGGTAAAAACTCATTTCTACTCATCTCTATTCAGTAGAAATGAGTTTTTACCTTCGTTCAAAACTCATTTCTACTGAATAGAGCTTGAATGCATCATAATGTAGCTCAATGCAACCTCCATCAGTTAGTTTCGTCTGACTTCTTACAGTGGTTAAGTAGTTCTCCTCTTGCAGATGTCAACACCAATTCATTGTTCACCATGTAGTATTATTAGAGAGAGTTACTGATCGGCTCTTTTGATCAGCCTTTAAACTATTGACAAGGCATATCTGCCAATAACACTCAGTGGCCAGTCAATCGGAGCACCCATATCTGGGGGTGTTCTATTTATAATCCTCTCTCATCCCCGACTGTGACTGCTTAAAGTGGAGGTAGTGAATTTATTACGTACGAGGAGATTTTATAGTAGTGGTGCGAGCGGAAACACTGGCTGGTGTGTGCTAAATCAAAACAGCTCAACCCAACCCAGGCTAATTAACAGTCCCAGCTTGACACATCATAATATAAGTCAGGTAAAGTTTTCATTATGGTACCTCAAGGCATGCAGGCAGACAAAAACTCATCGGATCTCTGTGAATCTCACAAATGACCTATGTTGTATTAACCTATGTTCCACCCTGTACATTGATCCATGTTACTATCATGCCTAAAAACAATAGGATTAAGTTAAGTCCCTTCACAGCTACAGTTATACTGTAGCTATAAAAGCTAGTGCAGAATTTGTGATTCCCACTATTTGACTGACTGTTCACATCTATTTTTAAAAGTAACCCATGTCAAATATCAGATTGAAATGATCTGCATTGTGAAAGAGAATTTTTACTAAGCCTTTATCAGCCTTATACTGTTAGATGGAATGGAGATGCAAACACCATTTATGTTTTTGCACTTGTTCTCTTCTCTATGGCTGCTTGAGCAGCTGCCTTGGATGGAGATTTTTTTCTAAAGCAGCCAGTTGCCCTAAACATCAGAATGTATCAAATGATTAAAATTATTCAAATTCAATTAAAATCTACACAGTTGTATCCAGAGAACACCAGAGAGCAGTGTGCTGACCTTGAGGCTGTGGAGGGAGGACTCTGGTGGGTAGACGATGAAGTGGCGAAGAGTAAAGCCGAATCCCTGTGAGTTCTTCTGGACAAAAATGGTCCGTGGGCCCTGCCATGACACGCCCTCCACCTCACCCGATGACAGTGGCCGGCGCCTGTTCTCATTGGACGACACCATGCCATCTCTCCGTCCTTTAGCCTATTGAGAAGAGAAGATAAAGAAAAAATTTAGATCAATAACGTTTGGCTTTCCTTTCTTTTTGTTAAAAAATGACCACTGACAAAACTTTACCATGTGAATCTTAAAGTACATGTAAAGCGAGTGTGTACTCATCCATAGTTGAATGCATTTAAGGGAAGAGTGAGTGGGTGGATGTGGGCGTATATGGTCCATTCACTGAGGACTCTGCCCAGATCTGGCCGGGGCACAACTACACTAATGCCAGGAATTTCTCAGAGACTTCCTTTCTCTAAAGAGGAAGCTCTATTTTCAACAACAACCACACCTATAATCACATTTATTACCTCCAGCCAACAATGGAAGAGTTAAAAATATATATTGACTATAAATAAGAGCCATGGAACAACAGGAAATTATTAGGGCTCATAAACATAGATCTGGAAATACAGAGCACCTGACCAATGGACAAAGGGAGCACACACCTTTACATAGAGAGTGATTTAAAACATCCACTGATATTTCTATGGGCTACAGGAGGGGGGAATGGAGCTAGTGTTTCAGATACAGAATCACACAGTGGATTCTCCAACACTGAGCACAATTATTCCACATGATGTTTAACCTTGATAAAGGGATATACTGTAGCTCAAGCATTAGGCACTGAACTCGGTACTTTATAGTACCAGCTGAATTACATTGTTTATTTAGTACCAATTCATGCAGCTTGTTTGAGTCACAGTGAGTCCAAAGCAATGGCAAGTCAAAAGCAAACCCAACTTTGGTTACACTTTATAAAACATAAACACAAAAGATACCTAAACAGATAGCCGCATATGTGTGCAGCATCTGTCAGCAACTGGACAAGACTTCTGTTTCAGAAATGTCCTGGTGTCTGTTTGTAGTCCAAGTAGAAGTGACCAATCACGCTTGAGTGGCAGGTAAACAGTTAGTGTTATTGGCCGAAATGCAATCTCAGAACCCATCAGCTATTGTCTGAAGAGGAGTTAGCTTTATATTAGCCTTTTAAAAATGTATCTGCATTCATGTGGAAATATCTGTTTTTAAGAGATGAGCCAAAATGTATGTGAAAGAGGAAGTCTTGACTCGGATTTTCACTGGCTGCAGCTACGAGACTCTGTCGTCATCAGATAATGGCCGATGAGTTCCAAGATTGAACCCTCCATGGACACAACACTTCAAGAGAGGCAACAACAACTTCATCAACATCTTCAGCTAATTAGCTAGTTGGATGAGTTGTTGTTGCAAATAACGTCTTTTTTCTTTGTCTTGGTTGACATTAGCTGGCATTTTTACTCGAGTAAATTACTGATAAAAGCTGTTTGGTACTGGTACCTAATTCCAGATACTAGTATCAGTTCAAATGTGAACAGTACCCAACACTATTAAGCACCTGGAAACTATAGTTATCTACATAACAACTTTGATCTTGATCATTAGAGTAGGGAGATCAAACCAAAATAAGTTAAATTCAACAACACTAGAGGCAAACACCTTCATTATACCCCAAAAAACATGCAAACCCAACTCAGCAAAAAACAACAGGAAGCCCGTTTCTTGAGACAGGAAGTGGATGGCTGTGATTTGTGGAATCAAACTCTAAGAATGCTTCCAACAACAGCAGGGAAGAGACCCACACTTTCCACAGAGGGAAGCCAATCAGTTTAAAATTCATATTCCCATTATACGGTCAAACCAGTAACAATAATTTATTAACTCTTTAAAATCAGTGAGTAGCAATGTTAGTCGGTGGTGTTGGCTTGATTTCTAACCACACCCTGTCTTAATTTGAGTGAATGGACACAATCTGTTGGTTGACTGAAAGACAAATATAAACCTGCATAACATGCTGAAAACATTCAGTGATCTAATTAAAATAGTTCTAAGGTTTACACTTCAAACTTACTTTCTCAAACTTTTGAAAGGACCCACTCTGAAAGCATTACATAACCTACTGTATATTATTTAAACAGAATAAAATAACCTCAGAGGTTTCCTGCCCACTGACATTTCTGTATGTGTGTGTGTGTGTGTGTGTGTGTGTGTGTGTGTGTGTGTGTGTTGGAGAGTCGTGTTGTGTGAAGCCCCAGAGCATGAAGTTATCATATCTGTGTGTGTGTGTGTATGTGTGTGTGATAGTTGGGTACATTGTTGTGTTAGATTCCTCATCATCCGACATATCTGCAGGTGACATTTCACACATGAGTGAATGCAAACATAGAGGTGAGATGTTGTACATATTTACCTCCCTCTCCCCGTCTCTCTCACTCACACACACTCACCTTACTCGCCCACCCAGTCACAGTGTGAAATGCCGACATGCCAGAGTGTGTTTTATTGAACATCGTGACTTTTTTCTCCCTGTAAACAGCTCTCTTACACAACTAACACTGACATCCCTTTAATTCAATATGCTGTTGCTTGGTTCATTACATTTCTCTAGTTCTAACTTTTCTCATTAAAAAAACAAACAAAAAAACACATGAGAATATAAGAGCATAAGTAGTGTGTGGTGTACATTCAGTGCAAGTGGGGCAAAGACGGCAACATGGCCAATGCATAACAAATCATAAATGCAAGACAGTGACTACGATTGAATCTCAATGCAATAGCATTCACTCAGTAAGGTTAGAGGTTAAGGGTGAGCTGGGTTCAGATAAAAGAGAAAGGTAAAGGTAAAGTAAATAATGAATAAAAGAGAAAAATTAAGAAAGGCAAAGTGAGTGTCTGGACTAATAAAGCTGGATCAGAAGAACACATTTTAGAAATGTCTGCATACTTTTGAACACTTAAGACTCAATCATAAATAAAAGTATTTTCCTTTTTCATCAAAAAAAGGAAGCTGTGGTTTTTGTACAGTGAATTACAATAAGAGCAATAGTTATTATCGTTTGTTTAATTTCCATTAAATCTTGTATCATCACTATATGATCACATTTTGTTATACCATAAAACTTCAATTAATAGCAGGCTATTTGCTTGAATCACTGAAATCAACTGACCTATATTTGGGACAGGCCTTTAATTCCTTTCACACAAAACTGTTGCTCAGCAAAGATCGGGAAATACAATCAAATTATTTATTTAAACCAGTATGAATATTACTATTGTTTAAAAATAAGGCTTCAGATAATATATCAGTTATGAATCATCACCAATAATTAAAAAGTTAAAAAAAAAAAAAAAGCTAAATGACTTGAAAAATAAAAAACACGCTTTCCTGCCTTTAGTCTGGCACTCCTTTGAATCGGTGACCTTTATCACTGCATTTTAAAGTGCCATCCATTTAGAGAGGATGAAATTTTAATGTTTTGTGTTGTAAATGATGTGCCTTTTATATTATTTTATGTTGGCTTTGTTGACAGACAGCCTGCTAGCTGCGTTAACATGCAGAAACATGGTGCCCACTGCCCACCCTGCATTCTCCACCAGTTAGCTAGCCTTGGCCGCTTTGCACTGTGCACAACTCGGCTCAGGTGAGAGCTAGCTAACAGTGCCACATACTCGCGATTATCGCTGTCCTGGTGTCTGGAAAACATTGCAGAAACATGGTGCCCACCCTCTGGTCTCCCCCCAGGCTGCCATGGGAACAATGGGTTGGGCACAATGTTTCCAAAGCAATGCTGTTGGGTCAGGTGTGTTGGTGTTACTTGCAGTAATGGCCAAATGAGCAGCACCACTAGCTAGCTCCCATTAGAACATTGTGGTGCACAGTGCAGTTAACTGAAGAGTAGCAAAATTAGCTTCTTGACAACCCTACTTTCAGTACAAAAGTAGATGAGACCTTGGCCTCATTATGACCTCTTGTTAAAATAAGGGTTGAATAAATGTAATTCAAGTTTAGATTTTTCAATTTGTAATGTAAGATGAACAGTGTTTACATACAACTATGAACACCACACACTAAAAGCAGTTGCAGCACATGATTTGGCTCATACTAGACTCAGGGCATACTGGCATGTGACTGGAGGAGCAAACATTCGCTACCTTCCTGTCTGTGTTTCAGGAGCAAAGGCAACACCTTCTTCAAGGAGATTTTCCAGCTGAGCATTGAACATTAACAACAGCCAGTTTCCCTTGACTTGGTTAATAGAATTTGATAGTGAGAAAATATTTTATTATGACATAATAAGACAAGATAAACTGTAATAATGTAGTCCTATTTATAAAAGGAACCTAAAAACAAATATAACTAATATTTTTGAATGTATTTCTCCCTCTTACCCTAGATAACAGTCTTTACGTGATCCTGAACACTCTGCCTGATTGTGCAGCTCTTTCAGGACGAGGGCTTGTTGTGCTGACTCAAATATAGCTCATCATTAACATGGGCCACTCACTCAATTTACTCTGTGGTTTGTCTACTGCACTAGTCATTTCATACTGCTCACTTGGATTTAGCATTTGAATTGCAGCCCCTTTATTGTTGGCCACTGAAATGATTTAGTTCATTTGACATTCAGACCAGTGCAGAATGAGCTGAACTGAAAGACAATACAAGAAGACACACATCCACCCTACATACACAGATCAGATAATACAAACTGACAGATACTAACATACACACTTACACACACTCACAGTGAATACTAGACATGGGATTACTCACTCTACAGCATGCAAACATACAAGGAGTGTGTGTTGGAAACTGTATGATCCTTGATGCATACTTGAACAGATGATGTAAAAGCACGACCACACACCCACATACGCAAACACACAAAAGATTTTATATAAAGCTCTGTGCGTAGTGAGGACATCAGCGTCATCTCCCTTCCCCTCTGCTAGTCAACAGGCCCCCTCAGTGCTATATTACATAACACCTAAAGGAGGCGCAGAGATATGGCATAACACACACCCTCGAATGAATCAAACCCCACGTGCTGAATCTTCCTCCAAACTGTGGATGATGACAGCCTGGTAATAGCTAATCTGTTCGACTCCACTGTGCAGCTCCTATCCTGACACAGGTTAAAGTCACCCTTGAGGTTGATAACAATGACATCAACTTTGGCTCCTTGTGAAAAAACCAGGACACCCACATAGTGGCAAAGGACAGGGGTGGTCAGTGATGGTGTCTTTTCTCTTGCAGTGATCAGAGCAGACAGGAAAAGGTTAAAGCAAGATGGTAGAAAAAGCATCCTGCGGGAAATATACCTGTCCACAGTCATCAGATCAGAAAAGAGATGAGGACCCTTCAGACTGATGACAGCATCAGCTGTTTTAGAGCTGCAGTCAAACTATTACGTACAAGGATGGACCACAGACAAATTCAAAAGCTAGTCCAGTATACTGGTGATGCACCCAGTAGGAATGTTATCATACATCAGTCTGGATCGATATACAGATTAAATGAACAACAATTCAATATCATCAGTGTGAAGTGGAAACATCAATACTTATCCCCATCTTTAAGTTACGCCTTTATTCTGAAATTCCCAGGCACTTCTGTGTCATCATTTCTGTCCAAGCCAGGCTTCCAAGAATGCTGCTCAGCCTTGCAGCCAATTTTTTGTATGTGCTCACGGTATGAAGCGAAAAAATCCTTTGCGGCCCAAAAAGCATTTTCCACATAGGCTACCATTATTAAAGCAACATCTGTAAAACTGTTGACGGTACACCTCAAACTGCAAAAAAGGGTCAAGTATGACTCTTTCTGTTATGAATTTTTGATCCAATGGAGGTTTTATATTTGTATAACTTTCCTCAAGCCGAGAAAAAAAAATCTGATCTTAAAATCTAGGGCATCATCACAATGTAAAGTTTATGAGTCAAGCAGTAACTTGCAAGTGGGGTCAGTGCATACCATGGATGTACACTCGGAAGCTAGAAAATTTATTGGGCATATGTGCCAGGCAAGCAACTCCACTGGAATAAATAGGCACCATCTTGGCATCTGGTACCTAGCTATTATTCAAAATCTATGATCCAAGTGCACCCCCTTCCTAAACATTCAAACAAGATGATGATATACTGATATTGTCTAATGTCTTTCATAGGCAACTGAATTTAATTGAATCAAATCCAAATCATAATGTGGCAGACTTTGTGATGATGGTGAATATAGTGGAGCCAGATATTTTCTCCGCAGTTGGTGGAGACCAAAAACAGAGCAAAAAGGAAAGTGAAGATGGACATAAATTATTCAAGTCGCCAGAAACATGACTAAACATGACTAAAGATTTGTAAATAGGCGAATTTACCTTTGGGATAAATAAAGTTATTTCTATTCTATTCTATTCTATTCTGTTCTATTCTATTCTAACTGTGTGTTAATGCACTAGCCAGGCCATCTATCAACACCTATGGTATGAAACGATGTATGATATCTACTGAAGTTTTGCCCCACAAATTGCATCCTCATGTTACGCACTTCACATGAAGTTATGTAGCTAATGTAAAGTTATGTAGGTCAGCTTTAGGAAAAGAAACATGGTAAAATAATTCAAGGTTTACTTGGTTTCACACAGGACACAAACACGGGTCTTTTGAGGGAAAGTCCTGTGACCCATCTACCACCTGCCTTCAATGTGGACTTTCACTCTTAATACTATGTCCCTCTTCACTCTTGTCCGCACATTGGTCATGTGATCACAGCCTGTTATGTTGTTATGTGGTTTATATACGAATTCTGGTGCTATACTTTATATTGGTATACATACTAACAGACTGTTCAGCTTTTTGTGGCCTTCTGCTCAACAAAAGTGGACAAAGTAGCTGATTAACACAGCTTTAATAAGTTTGGTAATGAAAAAGTACATGTAAAAGATATACAATACACAATGTTCGCCATAAAGTCCTTGTAGTAAGTCCTGTAGTAAGTCCTCCAAGTAAGTTCTACTTTTTTTGTTGCAAAAACGACCTACTAGCTGAAGGCGACCTTATACTGCTAATTACCGAAGTGAACTACCTACATGCTTCTACTATTAAGAAAAAATACCCTCATTAATCTTTCCCTGCATTGAAGACCATGAGAGTCATGTGAGTCTTGTAACCAAACCAGTCAGCAATGAGTCGCAGCCAAATATAATAGTCAATGTTACAATTATCAAAGTAAGGAACAAAATTGGGCTCTTTTATCCAATGTGTTTTGACATGGTGAAGGATTACTGATGCAGTACCTGGGAAATCTCATAAACTACCCTCTTACCCATGACAAGCGATGACGCTGTATGACCCTCCGTGAGCCCCGTCTTCTTGGTGATGCGATGGGAGTTGGGCGGGGTGAGGTGCGAGGTGAAACCCCCCTTAACACTGCCAGCCAGATACAGCGAGGTTCGGCATCGCTACAGTCCACCCCGACAGAACACTGAAATCGCCACTCGTGGCCCAACGGAGCTGGTGCGACACTTGACACCCTCAGCATAGCACCTCCACATTCACACGCACATCTACTGTCTGTGCAGCAAACACACACACTAACACACGCCAGGGGTTGCAAGGCTTCAGACCCCACAACTGAGATACCCGGTCACCTCTGCACAATGTCTGCTTGATGCATTATGGCCAGAGGTGACAGTCGTGGGTAAATCAATGGAAAACACACTTCTACACATTAAATCAGCCACTCAGATGTCACAATCAGCACCGACGATGCAAAGCACTAAGTCTTGAATGTGTAAATTTGTAATCCTTGACTTGGATTTAGCTTGAGCTTCATTATTCATGTATATCTTTCTTTGGGCAACTCTTCAGACCATGTTCCATGGGTCTCAAACATTGGTGGTCAAGCCATGATGATCCTGGATTAGACTTCATTTGTCAGATTATATCCAGTTTTGTACAATGTTGTCTCAAGATAGTCCTCATTTTTTACCAATCTGGTTTCGACTTGGTCCTTGTCTTTGAAATTTAAGTTGAATTTCTGTCATCAAAACAGCCGTACAACTCTCAACCTCTTCTTGCCTTCTTGCAACTTTCATTTAGTCCAGTTCACAATTCAGGATGAGGAATTATTAGGCTTTAATAGCATCCTGGCTTTTTCAGTGAGAAACAGCATTAGAAACAGCACTGGTCCCAGAGTTACTACAGACGAAGCATTAACTGAGAGCACTCTCAAATGTCAACTAGTCCTCTTCAGAGCTTTTAGAGTAGTATCATCCCAATGTCAGAAAAACCACACTCATTTCACTGAAGTAGTGGTTAGTTGCTGCTGTGCCATTTGGCTCTAATTTAGCTCTCCTCTGGATTTTAGAGGCGAATCCATCCCAGACCAGTTGAATCTGTTGCTGGACCAGTTAAGCTGAGAAGGCAGTTTGTTGTCAGACCAGATTTTATAATTGGATACAATCCCAAGCTGCTGCTAAGAGATCCAGTGTGTCCCCCTTCATGCTCTATAATACAGCATTGGCTGTGTCTGACTATCTTTATTGCTGTCTAAGTATAGTCCTCCCTGCTCTAAACCCGACATGCCTCTCCCTTTCTCTCTCTTTCATTCTCTCTCTCTCTCCCTTGGGTATATTTGCTGACATCCCGCACGCTCTCTCTCTCTCTCTCTCTGTCTCTCTCTCTCTCACACATAGTCACATTCCTCTCATCCTTTTGCTACACAGTCCAGCCCATTGGTAGAGCAGTGAGCAATGTTTCTCTCACTCTCTATGTCTCTGCATGTGCTGGGTCTCCCTGTCTCCTCCTTTTAGTCTCACAACCTGCTGGCTGATGATGCTGTTGGTATACAGCGTACACTATAAACTGTGTTTTCAAGCGTTCATTCAATCAGTTAGTAGATCAGCAGAACATTAATCAACAATAAATGATAAAGAAGAAATATTTTTCTCTGTTTAATATCAAAGTGACATGTTTGGTTGGGCACAAGGAGAAATCAGACGATGTCTTCTTGGTCTCTGGGTGGCCAGTGTGCAATCATGTATAATGCCTTAAGTTGATAATGTAGCCCGAGGCTGTTCTTTTTAACAATGGTGCAGTACTGTGGAGCTGCCTTCCATTACACATGAGGTTTACAAAAATAAGAGGTTAGGTCAGTGCTTATTTATGGAGTGGCCCTAGGGGTTATTACAAAAATTTCACTTGAGCTATTCATCTGTTTTTGTTGTATTTAGTCTATTGATGTGGCTATTATTATTTTGCACAATTTTGGTTTCTATTTTAAGTTTCAAGAGCTTTGCAACATATCAATATTATATGGGTATCGTCATATGAGACTAGATATCATCTTATATTTGTAATATCATAATATGGTAATGATTTTCTTTTCCTGGTTTGAAAGGCTACATTAAAATGGTTTAATTTTCTAAACCCACCAGACTGTTCTAGCTGTTCTATTATTTGTCTTTACCCACTTTGTCATTACATTAACATTACTGATGCTTATTTATCAAAAATCTCATTGTGTTAATATTTTGTGAAAGCACCAATGGTCAACCCTACAGTAGTGTCGCAATACTGATACAGAAGTATTTGGTCATAATACTTTGATATTTGGTTTTCTCCATATCGCCCAGCTCTGTAAGGTTCTATACTTAAATTATGTTAAATGCTTTATATTGTCCCTTATCTCCATTTCTGTTTGTGATTTTCATGGACAGGATCAAGGCACAGCCAGAGAGAGGAAGGGGTCTGGTTTGGGGACATCAGAATTGCATCTCTGCTTTTTGCAGATGATGTAGTTCTGTTGGCTTCATCACACCATGACCTCCAGCATGCACAAGGGCAGTTTGCAGCTGAGTGTCAAGCAGTCAGGATGAGAGTCAGCAAATCCAAGTCTGAGGCCATGGTTCTCTGCTGGAAAATGGTGGATTGCCCCCTCTGGGTTAGGGGTGAGTTTGTGTACAAAAATCTCTAAACGTTTAGAGTGGGTAATTTTTTTTTTTGTGTAAACGGGTTTCACCGCTGGGTGGTGCTATTGCATTATACCAGTAAAGCCCCAGTTATCCGAATACCAATCTGGAAATCCATCGGTAAAAAAAAAAAAAAAAACATTTTTTTTTCTTCCTTTACCTCTGGAGGCACAGCCCGGAGTTTTTCGACTAACGGAAGTGCAGGGGCCTCGGCGATCGCTCACGCCCTTCACTTCCGGCGGTGCCCCCAGGGAATCCCCCTGATGCCCCCCCCCCCCCAATATTGGTTAATCAAGCAAAATCCGTACATGTAATGATAACAAGACTATCATAGTTTGAAGACATGCACCAAGTAGGAACAAAGCAGGCTGAACTAGTGTATTTTCATAAACAGATGGTAAACAAGCAAATAAACAAAGAAAGGACCAAGAAAGGAGCAGTGAAAAGCTGAATACTCTCTATGGAAGATGAGACAATTGTGTTTGTCTCTTTTTATGTGATTTTTTTTTCTAGTAACCTGTGTGATGCGAGAAGCAGCTGGTCCCTGGATATTTTTACATGATCTAATTTGGCACCCATTCAAAAAGGTTTGGACTCTCCTGACTTAATGCATCTATTGGTACCAACCATGTCATGCTAGCTTATCAGGATGGGGGCTAAATAAGTTAGACTAAATTTTGGCGAAGGAAAAACTGGCATAGATGCTAGCCATTTTCAAAGGACTCTAACCTCAAGATATCTGAATGAAAATGGGTTCTACTGGTAGCCACCAGTCTCCCCTTTACAGACTTCCCATGTTATGCTAGTCCCATGCAGTTTTTGGCAAAAACCATGCAGCTTTTTTGCATGCAGTACAAATATGTTATGTATGCCTGTTTTGAAAATGGTATAATTAAATGTTCCTGACAGGATAAAAAAATCCCCATCAAATTAAAGCAGGACAACCGGCCTATTTGGAGAACCATGAATCCCCTCACACATGCAGACACATATCACATTAAACAGGAATGTTGTGGAGATCAAAATGTTTAGTATATGTACATCAGATAATTAGTAAAATTAACAGTAAAATAAGAAACCAAAGTATATCAGTTTGCGATTTTAGTCTCATATTGTTATTGTTTTTGACCAGCATAATCGAATTCCTGAAATTCTGTCAGGGATTTTGTTTTGGTGTGTCACCCCAAGATTTTCAGTAGCACCATCTGCCCACCCCTAAGAAAAATTTATGGAGGCACCACTGCATGAGGTGTCACAGATACAGAATAAAATGATCACTTGTCGACAACTGTTGTCATTCCCAATCTGAGCAAACACTCTGCCAGGCTATAATCGAGCTGATATCGTATAGTCTGAACCCGGCATCAGAAAGAAAGCAACTAAGTGTATTTACTTAAATGTTAAACTGTTTCTTTAATAAATAAGATTAATACTTGTTAGTGGCAGTCCTGTGTGTATAGTAAATGTTAGAGCAAAATTGTGACCCAGTGTACATGGCGTGTCTGTGTATTTGTTGTGTATGTCTGAGTCAGAGTGTGTCTAAGGGAGTAAAAGATTATTACAACCAAACTGTCAACTAGTATAAATGTTTGTGCTTCTTGAATGACCCTAAATGTGAACGCCAGACTATGTGTGTGTGTGTGTGTGTGTGCACGTGTCCATCCTTCTCTAGCCCTCCACAACAGCTCTAGCAGTGCTGTCAGCCCCTCAGTCCTCTTCTCATTGACACTTGAGAGCAGCTACAACAACAGACAGCCAGAGAAAGAGAGAATGAAGATAAAGAGGGAGAAGTGGGATGTAGACGGTAAAAGAGACTGACGTCCATGCAAACATCATCCAGCAGCCTCTGTATCTCTCATCTCCTGTCCTCTTCCATTGCCTTCTCTCTCCTTTACTCTTCTTTCATTTTTTATTACTCTTTTCCAGCACTTTATTCTCCACTTCTCTACTCTTTATTTTCTATTTCTTTCCCTTTCATTCTTAAAGTTACAATCTGTTCGATCACTGTTTTGTTCTCTTTGATGGCACCTAATGGCAAGTGTGTTTTTCATCTGTAGTCATCGCTGCTAGCAGAGACCAGAAAAAACAATGCGCCACTTTAAAAACAGGGGAGCTGAAGTGCAAGTCTGTTGCGTTTGCTCCGCCTACCCTCTCTGGTGGACCAACCACTGCTGGGTGATGTAAAACTTGTCACTAACTGCGCCGCTTGTGACTTTTTCTGGGACTGTGGCCACAGATTTTCAGTTAGTTATAATGCAAATCCAAGAATTTTTATCAGTGGCCATACAGTACACTCAATCACCAATAAAAGTCTTTGAGATACTATTTTAAACCTAAATGTTAAACAAAACCAGTGGAGGCAAAGTTCTGCTGCGTGAAACCAAACAAACTGTGAACATTATTCTGGCACTATTGTGCATGAATGAGTGTAGTTTTAAGAAAGGCATTGTGACCAATCTGTATACTTATGACTGTTTTCCTGACTGCAAGGACTCATAATCTTGGAGGAGTCAAGCCAGAACAAAAATAACATAATGTGATGTGTGAGTCAGAGGAGAATATGCATCTGTTCTGCCCTGATGCTTTATGCCTTGGCTCTGGAGCTCAAGGCGAGCACTGCTGGTATGAGGGTGACACACCACATGATGTCTGTGAGTAGAAATGCTTATCTCTGGCTGTCTGACTCTCCATTCAGTTCACTTTATGCAAAACAAATACAAAACACCCACTACCAAAGCAAAAACCACACATTTAATCCAATATAGTGATTCAATCTGTCAATGAATAATGTACAGTAATGTACAGTGTATGTTCAGAGTTGGCCTTGAAAAGTTCTAAAGTTGAAGCCATTAGAAAATGGCAGACATTCATAAAGACAGCTTTCATGCCATCTTTAGTTTGGCTGTATCCAAAACCGCATACTATACTAGAAGTACATACTGATATTGCCAAAATGTAGTATATAGTATGCAGTATGCAAACAAAAGCAAAATCAGCAGTATGCAAAAAATACCCGGATGTCGTACTGATTTGGAAAAATTCCACAGTATGCATCAGACCAGTCTACCTCGCCTACTGTTTTCCACAATGCAATGCGCCCTTGACCGGGACCAGTCAATTGTCGTAATGGCGGACAAGAGTGATCAAGCCGGGAATACCACGGAGATGTTATTATTTTATTAAGCTTCATCCCGTACTGTACTGTGCGCGTGATATTATTTTATTAAGCGTCATGCCAAATCTTTGATACCTACCTGACTTAACGTACGTAGAGATGCACTAAATCATGTTGTCTATAATGTAGCTATAATAAAAACCCAAGCTTGTGTAGCTTAATAAGATAAAACGAAATTCAATATAGACTGATCTGTTCATTTTAATACATTTATATTTAGCCTATTGAAATTGTGATGTCTGTACATAAGAGCCCCAGAGGTAGCGCTGCTGTTCTGTCCAGTAAAAACATGAAGCTTCACTTTATATTCAGACAAACTAATGTGGCAGCTACAATTGTTAGATTTCATCTACCATGTGTTGGGGATCTAAACGGTTACTTTTACGCCTGAAAAAATATTAAAACTTAATAAAGTGACATATTAACAGCACTACAGCGGAAATTAAAACAGCTTTTAGCCTGCTTTGAACTCTCCACTGTCGCTGTCGGCTGGTGCGAAATGCATTCTGGGATACTTGGCTGTATACTGCATACTGCGAACGGTCTGCTGGAATGGCATACTGCATACACATTTTGTATGCAGTATGCAGTACATACTGATGTAGAATGTAGTACATTAGTATGCGGTTTCAGATACAGCTTTTGAGTCCTGCCAGAGGG